CACGCGCTGTTTCCAATGCTTTTACTTTGCACTTCATTTATACACCTCCAATGAATGCTACGGCCACGAGCAACAAAAAAAAACATCACGCAAAGAATAACTCGGAGAAAAGCTTGCAGTAAACACACCACGTATGTGATTGTCTTTCGTGGGTGTCTCTCTCCGTATTTAATTTAACATAAAGTTTTACACACGCAAAGACGCCAAATGTGCACTTAATATTTATTAATGCAAATATATTAATAGCTGGAGCAAATGAATGAGATGAATGAATGAAAACACGTGCGTTTATATTATACAAAGTGATCAAAAAACGAAATCAGATCAATTTCTAATAGAAACTATTTTAATCTTTAATAAAAAAAATCAAATGATTGATGATTTCTTAGTTAAAATATTAGAAATGTTAGAAATTGTAATTTTACGACACTTTTAAGACAATAACTGCACCGACTGAACAAGAAAACACAGGCTCCAACACTTTGTTGCAATAGTTAATAACTCAATTATTTTTGCATTAGTTACGAACCATTTTCGCTCATTTACGCTCGGCGCAGGCAACTTTCTCGCTTTTCACGTGCGATATAATTTCGCGAGACTTCCTGTCACGCCGTCAGCCATTTTCTCCTCGTTTCCACGATTCCGCGAAGGAGATCCGCTCGACATCGCCAATAACAAATCAATTAAAACGTTCCGCGATAACAAACAGGATAATATCTAAATAAATCCTATAATGATATTAATTGAGTTTAATTAGCGACAAAAGGTGTGTCTAAATGCATAAATATTATGCTAATCAGATTTCGCATACGATGCACGCACGTGTGTTATATTTTTACGCCTAGAAATTCCTCTAGTGTGTACCTATATCCTAGAAGAATTTGTCGTCATTAATCTCAGCGCGTGTTTGATACTGCCTTCGCGTGTGTTCCTTTCATCTGAGATAGGCAGTATGCAAGCGCGTGTGAATTGTGAATCATCCTGGAAGCAATTAATGAACGAAACACGATCGGCGCGGCCAAAGTCAAGAGAGCAAGAATGCACCGCCGACCGGAGCCACACCTGTGTATGCTTACCTGGTTACTTATTTGGCGTTTATTGTCACGCGCGATTGCGGCCGGCTAATAAATTGAGAGAAAGTGGGATCTTATCTGGGCTACGCTCTGTGGACCTGCGGTCCGTCGACTAACATATAAGAGAGCACCAAACCACTTTTTGCTTTTCTTTCTTAAGAATTATAACCAGCTCTATACTTTTGAACAAAACTAAGTACTTGAACACATTAAATGAATATTGACTTAAAGCAAGTTTATTCCTGATTTTGTTCTTGTCGCTTTTATGATGTCGCGGTTGCAGTTTACGGCTTGCGGGCTATTTGGTATAGATTTTAAGTTTTAACGGGTCGAGGAGCGCGAGTACCCGCGAGGCACTAACTGTACTTGCATGCATTCGCTGGCGTAAAAGTAAATATGACCATAACGGCCATAACAGCGATTCGTCTGCGAAAAACCGCAAGTCACCCGATCGACGACCCGAAACGAACCTTTCGAAGGCAATTTCTATCTTCATTTTTCATTCTTTACGCATGATTATTTAATAGCTAGACAATCCTACTTGAGTCTAAGAAATAAGAATACTTCAGCTCATTAAGAGCTCAGTATAATTCAACTTTCGCTTGTTAATTAATACTTAATCTTTAACAAGTTTTGATGAAATGATAAATCGCCAGTTGACATTCATTTGTTTTAGAAAGCGAAGAGATTTTTCAACACAAAAATTACATTAATTCTATTGCCTAAATATGTTGGCTATTTCCAGACTTTCCAATAACTGCATACCGCTGATATTCAGAAATAGAGATACTGCTACTAAATATTTTATATATTTGATATTGGTATAAAAACTTAAACTTAAGACTTAGAATAGACTTAAGTACATAGTCGATGAGTCGTCGATAACAATTCGGTAAAAATCACCAACTATTTGGACAATTATACTTTATTTATAAAAAATAATCGGTGTTGTAAATACTGTGAAAATTAGCCTGATCACAAATAGTTAATCAGATATAAACCAAATTCTACAAGGACCAATAACGACGCATTATAATAACAGCGTAATGTATACCTAGCTATAGACATCGCACTAAAATAATTTAAATCATATAAACATTTAACTGTTTATTAACGTGTTTATGACCACGCTTCAGTATTTAAATTTAATATTTTTCATCGTATAATGACACAGTTTTACGTTTTTTATATACGTACTGGACAATGTACTGCTCGCGGATTCGCTAAAACTTGCCCATAAAAGTTAAAATTACATCTCAATTCGAACAAAAATATTGATTGCCGAATTACATCGAAAAAGCAATAAGTCAAACCGAATATTCGCTCGGATAGTAAGTCTCCTCCAGACCGAACATTCGAGTATCCGGCTATTTAGCCAGACTCATTGTAGACAGATTTCTAATACAAATTTAATTTATGATTGACGACTTGATATATTTTATTTATTCATTTTGAGCGCTTTGACTCAACGCAATCATGCATACATTACTGTTATGCTCATTATTCTTCCACTTCTACTTCTTCATCAACGTCAACATCATCTACACGAAACGGTATCTCGTATTGTAATAAAATAATACGAAATTAATTTATTCCGGGCACGCACAACACCTGCATAACTTACCAGTGTTGAAATTATGTTTTTATGATATTACAAACAAACCAAATTAAACAAGCCATTATCTTCGCGTAAACAAATATTTATTAATTGGCTTTGTTCACGTGGGATTTGGTTTTTGTTTTTTGCGATGATAATGATCACACACAGAAGCTATAATTATGAAATAAACGTTGTAGGATAAGGTTGGTAATGTTGAACTTGTTTTGAACCTCAAAATATTACTTGATTTAAACAATTATCAGTGTTGAAAATTGTTATTAATAACCGTTAATATTATTTTATCTACTCCCCATTAATAATTAATTAATTAAATTAACCACCAACCGTGAGAAACAATACTTAATTATTCAATTAATCTATAAATAAGAGTTGAATGCAACGCTCTTGCAATTGAATAAATTGATTTATTATATCTGCTCGTTACGATTTCCTAATTGTTGAAAGTTAAAGACCGCTAATCGGATTTACATTTATCTATTCCCGCATTATTCACACCGTGAGTATTCGCTCATTATTGCATCTCTTACTTAATATTGTGCGATCATAAACATGAAACACTCATTACGCTTCGTGCACCTATTTACATTCTAATGCAGCGTGCGTTTTCCAAAATTATACGTTATTAAGACCTCGCAATAACCGCATGCCTAACAACACGTATGTTCATAAAGCTATGACCATATAATGCTTAAAAATGTTCAGATATAATCAGAGATTCCATAAATCCGTCAGATACATCATCGCTTTATTCAAACCACAACAAGTTGGAAACTGTTGTTGAAAGTTAATCGCCTTAACCTGGAATAATCCGATTATACTGACGTGATTAGCGATTAATTTCGCGCGGCGCCTGATGCGCTTACAGCGTCTAAACACCGTGGTTATCAATTAGACTAGTAGATCGCATCCTTTGTGCTGCGCGGTCGCCGTGCTTGATAGTCATGTTGATATGCGAGACGCGATGAGATCAGAGATGTGGAAGAAGAAGTGTGGAGTAGAGGTTTTTGCTCGGCGCTTTGAGCGCAAATTCGTGCGTGAACACACATTTATTGCGCTCTGAATGCGATCTGCTGCGCATCTAGCACGGAAGGAGACCTTGCAATGTAATTGGTAATTTATTACAACTAGCGGTCCCGGCGAACATCGTACCCTCTCATCAATAAAATATGTATTAAATTATTGTTAACAAAAAAAGAATACACAAAGTTATTTTTATTATAATACTAGTAATTTGTGCCCGCTTTGTACGGAAATTATTGAATTATTGTATCAAATTAAAAGTTAACACACGCGATTTATCATTTTGTCAAAACTTGTTGAAGATTAAGTTTTACTCAACAAGGGAAACAAGAATTTTACTGAATTCTTAATGAGCTGAAGTATTAATATTTCTTAGACTCTAGTAGTAGGTATTGTGTAATTATTAAATAATCATGCAAATATAAATTATTTTCAAAGAGGTGTCTGTCGTGAATTTTGTGCAAATAAGAGCTTCTTATCATCATCTCGATTCAAATGATACAGTAAAAATAATTATGATTGAAGATCTTTTCCATCTTTTTTCCCTTAATTTTTTCGATGTTTTAATGCATAATTTACTATTCGAATTGGACACAAATCTTACAACCGTCCTTTAGTTATAAATGCGGGCGACTTTACTTTTCACATGTAGATTATATCTGATTAAATAAATGCATATAATATAAATAATTTCTATGCACTTTTTACACCTAGCTTCATTGTTTTAAAGTTGAGTAAGAGTATGAAAATGTGCCACACGCCTTGGGCGATAAGAGCACGCCGTAGAAGAATGAGCAAACGGTAAACGCAGTAATGAACCATGTGGCGCGATTAAGAATGTAAGTGGAGATAAAAATTCGGTCCATTCGCGCATCGCAACTGTTTCCTGCCGTGTACCGCTATGCTGGCGGCGCGGCGCGACATACAACACACTTCTTCTCGTCTTCGTCTTCTTTCTTCGCGCGCATCTCACTGCTTCTGCGAACTGCACCGTGCCAGTTCTAATCATTATCTCTCGCAACGCGCAAGACCCAGCCGTCGACCGATAATAATATAACCGAAATTATTTCCACGCCGCGATACACGAAATTTAATTAGCTCCGCACACTCCACTTACCAGTTGGGTTAATTAAGATATGTGAGCCGCACGAAATGTTAAAGTGGGTGCGACGGCAAACCGTACGCTTCAAGTCAATCGGCCAATCGAGAGACATGATTATACTCGTAATTTTACAAACAATTTGTAACTTGTATTTATTTAATTTGTATTCTTTTTGTGTTCTTAGGGTTCTGATCCTCGAGTGGCGACATGCCGTGGCAAGCTGCAGAACCGCCGCTCGAAGCTCAACCAGGAGATCAACAAGGAGCTGCGGTTGCGCGCCGGTGCCGAAAATCTCTTCAAGGCGACCACCAACCGCAAGCTCAAAGAGACAGTGGCGCTGGAGCTAAGCTTCGTTAATTCGAACCTTCAGCTGCTCAAGGAACAACTCGCCGAGCTCAATTCGCAGGTGGAAATTTATCAAAATGACAAGTAAGTTAATAGATGTTATTTAGGCAACCCAAAACTCCCACACGTGAAATAAACACATAATACGAAAATTAGAGAAATTCAAAATGATAAATGTTATTGCCAACAATCACAATGTAATATCAATGCTATTGTTAGCGTGTGAATTAATTTAATGTTAATTTACCGCAATTAGAAGCACACTAAACGGTGCGTATTAAATCTCATGCGTAATATCACTTTAAATGCAAACAAGCCGCAACGAAGTGGCAAGTAGCTATGAAACAAAGCGTTTCGAAAGTCTCAAACAAAATTACCACAACAACACGCCGCAATTAATGATTTCGTTAAATGTTTCGCATTAGCACGGATTCAATAATGCCAATGATCCCACTGGGTCTCAAGGAAACAAAAGAGATCGACTTCCGTGACCCGTTCAAGGACTTTATCCTCGAGCACTACAGTGAAGACGCCAACCAATACGAGGATTCCATTGTTGATTTTATGGACACGCGACAGGCGATGCGCACACCATTAAGGGACAACACTGGAATCGCTCTACTCTTTCGCTATTACAATCAGTTGTATTTCGTCGAACGACGCTTCTTCCCACCCGACAGGTCGCTGGGAATATACTTCGAGTGGTTTGACTCGCTCACAGGTATTTACTAACCGGGTCAAGTTATGCATAATGACCGCATGGCCGTCGCATATGAGGTGCTGATGCAAATATTGAATCTGGGTTAAACGCAGCAAATGTTTCAGGTGTGCCATCATGTCAACGAACGGTTGCGTTCGAAAAAGCCTGCGTTTTATTCAACATGGGCGCGGTGTATACTCAAATCGGTGCAAGGCAGGATCGTACCACGGCCAAAGGATTAGACTCGGCTGTGGATAGTTTTCTGCGAGCGGCCGGTACCTTCCGATACATTCACGAAAACTTCACAAATGCACCCTCAATGGATCTAGGTCCCGAAATGTTGGAGATGTTCATACAACTAATGCTCGCACAAGCTAGAGAATGTCTACTGGAGAAATTAGAATTACAATCTCTTGAAAACCGTACCATCGACGTATGTTTTGATCTGGCGCAGGAAGCAGCACAGCTTTCAGAGTGTTACGATCATGTACATCAATTAATACAGCAACAAATGGTAAAAGACTACGTGCCGTACAGTTGGTCGGCACTGGTACAAGTAAAACGAGAATATCACATCGGTATGGCACATTATCACGCAGCCATGGGTATTTTACACGCGGAGGTATCACAAATGTCTGCGCAGACAAAAGATACACTGCAATTTCTGCATGTGGAGAGTGCCTCAACTCAGTTGGATATTCGTCTTCCAAAAGACGATTTAGAGCGGAGATTGTTAGGAAGAGCACATTTACGGCAAGCGTTAGTTTTACAAGAAGAAGGACAAAGATTACACAGAATGTGTCGAGAATTAAAGGGTAAACATGCTTTGATTTCGATGTTGAGGATTGCACACAGATTAGCACTACAAGCATATACTGCGAATGATGCAGAAGATGACTTTAGAGACTTGCTAGATCCACCACAAATTCAACCAGCGACAAAGTTTCAACTCTCTTTGACACCGCCGGATTTCGCGCAATATCGCGTCAGCGATTTATTTAAAGGTCTTGGGCCAATCGCGATATTTTCAGCAAAGAGACACTGGACAGCGCCGAGATTAGTACAATTACATCGTGGGAGAACCACCGAAGGATTTGGATTTTCTGTGAGGGGTGACGCGCCAGTTATCATCGCCGCAGTTGAAGCTAACTCATTAAGCGAAGTAAGCAAATTAAATTAACACATTAATTAAAAAGTAATTTAAAATCTTTCGTACAGTTTGGTGGAGTCAAAGAGGGTGATTTCATCGTGACAATATCCGATGTGGATGTCAAATGGGCATCACACGAAGAGGTCGTTAACTTAATTAAAAACGCCGATGACACCCTCAGTCTACGATTAGTCACCCCAATGGATAGAAACTACTTGAAGGTAAAATAATATCTGAACTAATTTTGAATTATACCACTTACTACTATGTTTGTTTGAAATTCTAGCCGGCCAAGTCCTCAAACAAGGGCTCAGTGTCGACGCACAGCAGCAGTTCAGGGGTTTCAAGCGGGATGTCCAGCCCCAGTGGTTCCATGGCGCAACACACCGGTAACAAACGACTGTCATGGAATCCATTCAAGAAACATCAGCTGCATCGGGAGTCAAAAGAGTTCTACGACAATGTTATCCTGCGATGAGCGACCCTCGAAATCATGTATCACACTTGTTAATTTATTGTACTGTACTGTGTATTGTGTGAATTATCACAAAATTTATATTAGTAAATTGTAAGATGTACATTTTAATTATTATTCCAGTCAGTTATTAATATTTTATTTGTTATATCGCGAACGTTTTTATCTCACTGCAATTATTGCTGTGAGTGAATGAGAATGTTATATGTATTATTTGATACAAACTATTTATGTGAATTTAATGTGCTATGCTATGCATGCACATGAGATGTATTTTATGTAAAATAAATAATCAACAATAAGCTTTATTGCAAACAATGTGTTAATTAAAATTCTTACCTGATGTAGTCTTAGTTCTTAGCCACGGACTCACGCACATTTGAACCACACACGTTGATGCTGAAATAGTAAAATGTAGGTGTAGAGGGCAGCACCCACCGGCAATGCAATACATTCTACTGAATGATAAAAAAGATTATATTATTGTTTACGAATAATTGAAGATAACTTCAATCGCAAAGTTAAAGATAATAGAATGACTAATTAACGGCCACACTTATAAAAACTTGAATATTTACGTTATCAGTTCGTCTTTTATTAACGAAAATCTAAATATTAGTATAAATGAATTACCTTGTATAATGAGTATTTTTGCATGAAATGAATGTCTCTATCGCAACTAGGAAAAATATACAATATCAGCTGTCTCGTCTATTTGTAGTCCAAATTCGAAATTACGCGCTCGCTGCCAAATTGCAGCAAATGAAACTTTGCAAAGATAACCGATATAATTGAAGGTTAGAAGGAGATGTTTAATCATTACGCGCAATATTAAAATGTTAGCGGTCATCACACGAAATCAACAATGTCTCTGAGTGCGCTTCTTCGGCGAACGAGCTCAAGTGTTCGTCAGCTGTGCACGGCCGCCTATAAACCGCTCGAAAATGTCAAAGCAGAGCTGTTCATTACCGAACAGTGCGCGCAACGCTTGAACACCATCACAAAAGAAGGCAATGAATTCCTGAGGGTTGCTGTGGAAGGTGGTGGATGTTCTGGCTTCACATACAAATTCGACCTGGACAAGAAACTGAACGATGACGATAAGTAAACAGTTCAAATATTATAAAGTATATGATTATTACTTATTTTGTTTTTCTTTAGAATTTTTGAAAAAGATGGAGCTAAAGTAGTTATTGACATCACATCATTGGAATTTGTTAAGGGTGCAACGGTGGATTACCAAGAAGAGCTGATTCGCGCCTCTTTTAAGATTGTTAACAATCCTCTGGCAGAGCAGGGATGCTCCTGTGGTGCTTCCTTTGCTGTACGTTTGGATTGAAGGACTACCTCATGCCACTGTTCCTGTTTTATTGGGTGGTCTTGCTTGGCAACTACAATAGTCTCAATTTGTTTGTGTATTTGCTTTACAAGGTATCCACTGAGTTATTACACTTGAATGAGATTTTGCAGTGAGATACATTGATATCGGCCGCTGCGCAGCGAGCGCGTGTACAAACACAATTTGTAGAATACAATATTTTATGTATAAATGATGCAATAGCATAGCCAGCTAGATTCATTCACATTCTAAAAATCAATTTAATATTGGAGCAGAACATACGCGTAAATTATTTGACCCAAAGAACTTATAAAATTGAATATAGATATAATTAAAAAGTTATCACAAGAATATATTAATTTATGAAAACATGGCCAGCAGCCATTTTTTTAATACACTCTGCTCCAATATTAACACTTAATATTTACAATATCATCTTTGTAAATTACTTTTTCACACTTAAATAATGTTTTAAAACTTGAATTTCATCACATTGTTGAGTAATCTTCTCGTTTTGCGCTGCCAAGTGTTCGGTCATGGCGTCCAACTGGCTCTTGTAATTCTCGGTGGTTGTATGCAATTCTTCGTTGCTCTTCTCCAATATGCTCTCGAGGGCATTTTTCTCGAGTAGTAAATGTTCCAGGCGCGTTTTTAATGTGTCGTTGTCCGCCTGCAGACTACAAAACTCTGATTTGTATGCGGCTTTTGATTCGATGAGTTCAGCGATTTGAGTTTCATAGTACTCAGTGAGCTGCTCGTTTGCCTCCGGCCGAGAACGAAGTAAATCACATTCGACTTTCCACCGATCTGCTTCTTCCTTCCAGTGTTGATTCTTTTAACAAAATTAGAAATACATTTAGTTATGTTTGTAAACATATATATTGCTGTAACAAACCTCTTTACATTGTTTGCATTCCTTGACAGTGTTTTCAGTCAACTTCTTTTGTTTTAAAGTTTTGAGTTCTGCATTGCTGGTGTCTAAATCAACACTAAGTTTTCGGAATTTATCTTCTAACCATTCCATTTTTTCTTTGTAGTTAGTTACTTCTAAATCCTTATCTGCCAACTAAATAACACAACAATTTTTTAAATCAATTCTATACCATCAAGCACCAAAAGAAATTTGAATTCAAATTTAATGTACCTGGCTAGCCAATTGTGCATTCTCCAAAATTCTTTTTTGTAACTCCTCATCAATAATAGAATAATTAGAATGATTAGGACTATCAGTAACAGAATTTTTTGTTTTTCCTTTTTTACTTGGAGTATTCACATTCTGCAGCTCTTGCTGTAATATTAAAACTCTCTTTCTCAACTGTTCATTGCGAAAAGTGAGGCTCTCCATTTCTTGATCATGTTTACGAATTTTCTGCTCCTGTTCCTTGACAACATCCTTATAGTTTAATATTTTTGATTGCTCATCAAGTACAGCCTTCTTTAATACTGTAGCCTGGGATCTCACCTGTTTAATATTACGAATTTTCAATGAAAGTTTAAATAACAAAGAAGTAGTAAGTTCAGAAATTAACAAATTATAGCAAAACAATCGGAAATAATTAGTTACCTTAGCGTATTCATTCGCAAGTTTGTGATATTTCGCCTCTAGCTCAGAATTCGCCATATCAGCGGCGAACAAGTATTTTAGTTTTAATCAAGTAACAGGATATTGTAAATAATTAGGTGTTGGTGTAAATGTAGCAGAGGTTATGACGTGACACTGAAAGCGTATAACAAGCAGAAAGAATATTTATGGTAATAAAGTTGTAAACTTCTGGCGCCATCTGCCGCCTACCAATATTTTCTTAAATAAATTAAATAAGTAAATACAAAAAATCGCTAATGTTGATGTTTATTTATTTAAGAAGTATCCAAATTTAACAACTACAATATTTCTTTATCGTTTGTTTAATTGCTTATTGACAACCTTTAAAAAATGTTAACGATTTGAACCGAGTGCAACTTTAAACCAATATGAAACATTTAATTACAGCGATTACGATAATCTCCATCCAATGTCATTGGTTGCATGCCAATCAGTGATGAGTACACACTTCTGCCCCGCTATATATGTGTACATTAGAACTCATTTGTGTGCACGTTATCGGAAATGTTTTGTATAACTGATTACTGCAAGTTATATCACCGCAGACCACACCAAACATATGCAATGCATACAAACTGTTTGTAACTGTAAATAATAAGATTTACTCCTAGGTTTACAAACAAATTTCAAATTAATTTATCAGGAACTAAAAAGAATTAATTCTTGAAATATAAATATAATAAAATGTAAGTATTTACTGATTTCTTAGTTGATTTTAAATTGAAGTGAACTGTCAGTGTAATTTCGGTGAATACCGGTGACTCCAGTGCATTCTCAAGTGAAAATCGCGCAGTGGTTGTGTTGTGTTGATGGGGAAAGTCGCGAGCAAACATTATGGTTACTGTGGATAATTTGGTCGCTAAATTGTGTCTTTTAGTTTTGGAGAGGAATGAAGAAGGTAAAAAACATTCATATATAGTTTTACCACCAAAAATAATATGGAAAACAAATTTAGTATCATAAAATTCAATTGTTTTGATTTTCTGCGAGGAAAATTTCATATTGATTTTCCATTTCCCGAAGCGCATGCGCAATTCAGTGCAATATGACACTCACTATATTGAAATTAACGTAATTTTATTGTTTTGTTTGATAACAAATTGGTGTATGTTTCAAATATTTGTTTTAATTAAGAACATAATTTTTTAGCCCAAGTAAAAGAATGGCGTCTTCTTGGGCAAGAACAAGATGGAAATTTATTGTTCACGTGGGTAGAGACATCGCTGGCAACCAACAATACACCAAAAAGCAAAATAGGAATTTATTCCTATGCGGAAAATACTTTAAAAACGCTTTATATTTTCAATGATCAATTGAATGTTATCCAGTCATCGGTAAATGAAAATCGCTCATTACTGGGATATATAATCAAGGAAGAATTCAATCATTCTTTCGTTTACAAACCGTATGTAATAAAACTAGAAAGTTATGAGGTTTGTGCGTTGAATATCGAGCGTTCCAAGCAGATTATGATACAATTTTTATACAAGAAACAGTCTGTGTTAAATGAGAAACAAAAGGAAACCTTTTTGCTTCTTATTCATGAAGAATGTAAGTTACAACAGTGTATTAAAATTATTTATATTGAAACAATAACTAAACACAGTGGTTTTTTAGGTGTTTTGCAATATCAGATCTCTCAATCATCCGACACATTTGCAGTGGAAAACTTCGTAGTTGATTCTCTAGTGAGAGTTTTTATTTGGGCACAATGGGATCCAGTCTATCAAATTTTATATTATATTCATTACAAAAAGCCCATGAAGTGTTTAGTAGAAGGCGAGGAAAGCGAACATACTTTTAAAGTATCGCCAACTTTGAGTGGATTACAATTTCACGATGATTTGCCACACGAAACAGTCGTATGTAGATTAACGTTTCGTAATGTAATTCTCTACCTTTACTTTCTTTTTAGTTAAATATTCCATTGAATTTACCACATTTATCAACAAATCCGTGTAATATTTACGAGGATGACACGGTTCCACTAAGAATTCACAATTGTTCACTTGATTTAATGGTTCTTACTGATTCGGAAGGAATTGCGTGTATTTGTCATCATTATTTATATCAGGTATAATACATCTAATGATTACATAACCTCTATATTTACAAGCATAACCTCATTTTATCTAAAATTAACCTTGTTTTTTTTGTAGCCTGTACAGGAAACTACAAATTTAGATGATGACGATGCAACACCAGTACATTTCGCATACTCTGTGACTGTCCTACATCAAAGTTGTGTCCTCCATTGTGTGATACCTGGCATTAAATGGAAAGAGGCGAAAACAATTCGACCCCTTTTCAAACTTTACGGTAAGTTTAAAAATATATAAAAAGTCCAGTTTGTACTTAAATGGTTTTAATTATATTTTTAGACGATCATATTATGGTATACATCCCTGGAATTTGTACTCAACTCTTAGACATATCCATGATCCATGAACCATCTAATCACATCACAACGGACATTGTTTTACCTTACACAGAGACGTCGCAGATATGCCTTACACCTCTCATTAAATTTGGTACATATTCAGTTTTAAACTTGACGACACTAGAAATAATTGATTTGCATGTACCAAATACTCAATTGATCGAAACATTTAAAAGTCAAACTACATTAGAAAATAAATTAGCAATCATCCATTATTTTCTCGTCCATCAAGGCGACATGGACATTGCTATAGAACTAATCTCATCACAAATTGAAGCTCAAACAACACTAGGCTTCCCGCAGATGTTAAAAGAATTCCTGCTGGGAAGTTCATATGCGTCTGTACAAAGAAATCTACCTTCCGATGCGTCACAATTAATAAATTTACTCCCGGTTACTACACAAGGAGTTGGTTGTGACTTAGAAGTGCAAATGAATGGAAGAACAATTTCGTTATCACAAGATGCGTTGTGGAATGCTAGCATGATGTTACTTTCACCACAGCAAAGGATAGTCCCATACCGAGTTGATTTATGGGTGAAACTTTGGGATATCTTAGTGCGAAACGCCAAAGGAAAGCAGAGATTTAAACCTAGTCAAGTTGTAGAGAAATTATTAGTATCATTGGTTTGTTACAAACCGGAAGCTTTGTCAAGATCAAGTACACCCATGTCACCCTGTGCAAGCATTGCTTTATCAAGTACAACTGACTTAAGTTCAATGAAAAGTCAAAGTGATGCATTACCGTTTTATGAAGTGGAAAGTTGCACCGCGAGCAAACAAGAACATATTATTTCTGTGGTAAGCACAACTCAAATTTGGTTATGATGGTGTCATTAACAATAATGTTTATTCCAGAATTTGAGAGAACTAAGTATGCATTTGTTAAAACAAAGCACCGAGAATAAAATGAGTCGCTTCCAATGGCAATCACAAACACCAATGCATGTACATGCTGTTGCAACAAGATATATCGCTGCACAATTAGAGCAATCCCGACTTTTATGTCAAATCTTATGTAAAGCAGCCACGTTTGATGCAAGATATGAACATGACAAAGGATTCGTCTACATGTAAGTACATAACCTTGAACAAGCTCTACCATACTAAAAATTTTATTTTTACAGTGATCAACTACCAGAAGAAAAACGATATATATTATTCACAACTCTAGAGAGATATTTCCTTGCTGTGGAAGCAATCGCGTTTCCCCTACCTCTAGGATTTACATCGTTTTTTACTTTTCTTGGTTATAGAACATTAAAATTTAATATTTTTCTTCAATATGTCCACCGTCACGTGTTTGAACTACAAGTGGACGTGATGAAGATAATTATGGCTGACATAGATGACACTAAAGAAGGTGTACAAAAAAAACTTAACCTATTATCGTTACTACCGCGTTCTAGAGCAAAACGACTAATGAACCAATGGAATCACCCGATTAGTCTCATGATCAGAGCCAGAGAACACGCCGCTAATATTTTATCAGGTGTAGAAGGGCAAAACGCGACAAGAGTACATGCTGTACAAAAAAATAGGAATCAATTCGGTTTGACTGCGTTCCCATCTGCTGATAGACTATCGCCATTAGATACATTCTTAGATTTACTTACAGCTAAGGCAAGTTTGACTGATTTGGACTTTGGGTTGTTGATTGAGGCAACCGTTGCTTCCATGGAGGAGATTGATGTTAGCAGTGATTAATTTGTAAGCTATTAATTTATTTTATGGGATGTTGTGCAATATGTAATAGTATAAATCTCCTAGAACAATTCTACTCCTAAATATGAAATAAACTATTATTACGGCTACAAATTAATGACATTGTTGTTTGTTAGTATTGCTAAAGCGTCAACAGATTAACGGTGACAGTTCCGCAGATATCTTCCAGTTACATACCTCCGGAACAACTCTCAACAGATTGTGCGTTACGGTTCCCTGCAAAAAATCTGAGGTAGGAAAGAAAGATGTCGCGCGAAGTAAGAGAGGTAACCACTTTTCTACAAATTTTGCAATTGAGAAGAAAATTTAATAATTAATATTCGTAATTCTTAAACCAAATGTCAAATTCCCTTAATGGTTTCTTGTTTTTATCATAAGATGAAAAACAAAACAAGAAGTATTCCTCAACTTGCATTGGATCTATGCAATCAGCATTGATCATAAAGTATAAATATGTAATCTAGGTCAAAGTAAAATAAATCATTAATTAATGTTTGCATATAAATAAATTGCTAAGACTCACCTCTTTAATGTAGTTCTTTAACATTTTATGTTGTTTCAGCATAAGAAGCAACAACTCTCTTAAATGCATCCAGTCTCTTTCCAAAATCAGATTTCTGATTGCTCTCACCACAAATGAATATGACTGCCAATTTACCATATCTAACATATGATCATATCCCTCTTGGCATGTTCTTCTGAATTTATATGCTTTGTCCTTTTTCTTTTCCAATTTAGTATTTTCAGACAATAAATCAAAAGCATGTTTTAAAGACGTTTTATTTATAGTAATGTAAGATCTATTTTCTTCAGCTTTCTGACCTTTTCTAGAGCCATTTACTTGATTTCTATCATGGTTAGTTGATGTATCTGGTTCCACTGAAGAATCTGAATCAGACTTTATGTAACTGCTTTCTGGAATTGGATATATTTCAGATACTGATTCTTGATCTGAATGTTCAGTAACTTGTGCTGAGGCAGTAGGTACAGTTGTAACTGTTGCAACTTTGTTCAATTTGTTTTTAGAAGCTTTTGGAGATGATTGACAATGTTCATCAATGTGATTAAAAACATCTCGTAATGCATCATCCAGTGAGACAGTCACCGAATTTGTTGATAATGTTCTTTTTCTCTTTGCACCATTCGATTTTTTAATATGCTTCATATTGTTTAATTTCAAGAAATAGTAATTACAGATACGCTGATACGAGCCGCGTGGTGTATTTTAAACTTCCAAGGTGTTGTGTGTTCATCTAGGTTATGCTATGTTTTGTTTTCATTTTCACTACGCGAAAACTAAATATGTTTAATTGATTTACAAATAATTAACAGTAGCTTAAATTCCTACAAAATCACAGGATATTTTATTTATTTAATATATATTTAAGTGTTTTACATGCTTTTATTTTTGTATGCATAAGAAATATTTGAAAATCGTCACAAAACTAAAAGCGTCGTTAAATTTCAAAATTAACCTCAATATTTTAAACTACAAAAGTGTATGCAGAAACAAATTGTACAAACAAATTTGAAAAATCAAGCACACTCTGATTAAAAATAACAATTAACAATAATTAATTGACAATCGAAATGGATACGAACATGGGCAGCAGCATTTTTCAAACTGGTGGTGTTAACATAGACAATGCAGCACAAAATTTAGAAGAAGAAGAAGAACTTGAGGAAATCAAAAGAAGACAGGAAGAAGTAAAATGCAAATCTTTTACATAACTACGATATAATTAAAATATATTTTTAGATACAATCTTTACTTACTAAAGCAATGGATGATTTCAACTATGATGACCAAAGTACAGTCAACTCTTCTGTTAATGAATCTGTACATGAATATGCACAGCAATACAAAGATGCTGGATTGGACAATCAAGTTGAAGTTATGTATAATATCAGAGTAAAAGAAGTAGAATCTTTGCAGTTAAAGCTCCAAGCTAAGGAGCAACAATTGGCTGATATGAAAGCACAAATGGTTCAGTCATTAATGCTCACTGAGGCTGAGAATGATAAATTGAGGACTTCATTGAAGAATTCACAAGAGTTATTAGGTAACTGCCATTTAATATATAGGTATATAGAATTTTTTAAAGATGAAATATTGTTTTTTATTACTTACAGTGGACAAATGTAATGAAATCCAACAACTCAATGATCAAATTCAGAGAATACTTCTTGATAATGAAAGTTTTAAACAAATTCTAAAGAAATTTGAGTTGGAAAAAGCTGCTGTTGATTATAATAATCAAGAATTGCGAGAACAAGTTGCCATTTTGGAGAAATGCCGCGGAACAAATCCGATATCTGATGCTGTTATACAAGAAAACCATCATATGGAAATCTCAAAGTTACAACATAATCTAGAAACAGCTTTCTGTAAAAATCAACGTCTTGTAAGCACACAATTCAAACTTATTTGCAAATCAATAGTATTAATACTGTATGTTTATGTGTGGTTGCTATGCAACGACCATTACGACTTACAGTATACAACTCAGTAGATAATCGGAATAAAATTATGTCCGATAGTACTTTTATAAATATTATTTTAGGAAAAAGAAAACCAAAGTCTCTGTGAACAATTAAATCATGTTATATCGGAAAAGGAAGATTTGATAGCTAACAAAACGGAGGTGATCAATAAATTGATGCAAAACGTTGATCAAGCGCAGGATCACAATCGGGATTTACTAAGTAGTGTAACACGTTTGACTGCGGAAAACGAAAAATTTAAGACGCAGGTCCAAGAGTTGGAGGCAAACGTGCAGATGATGAAGGGATTCACGGACAAAACTGAGATTATTAAGATATTACAGAAGGAATTGGACAAGAGTAAACATTTGAATACTAAGCAAACTGTGGAGTTTGAAAAGTTACATAATGAATATGCTGATTTATTAAAGGAATACAAGGCGAAAAATGTGCATGTGCAAATGTTAGAGGAAGCTATTGCTTCATTAGAAAGGTACATTGAAATCAAACGTAATTTATGTGTGATTTTATTAAAAATTTTGTTTTATAGGAAACCAGGAATGGATAGTCAAGCAATGCAAACATCAAGGTTGATGGAAAGTTTTTCGGTTTCTGATAAACTTCGCGGTAATTTTTTTTTATTATTACCTTTCGTATATCATACTTTTTCGTGTTTAACCAATTTGTTTGACATTTTAGATGAACTAGAAAATTGTAAAGTAGAATTGCAGCAAAAACAATTATTTTCACAAAGTTTACAAGAAAAAATCAAACTTCTTGAAGAAGATATCTTCAATCTCAATAAAAAGCTAGAATTGTCCCAACAACGAGACAGTTTAACACAAGCTTTACAAGCAAAGGCAACCCGATTAGAAGAGATCATACTAAACAATAAACGAGCTGAATGTGAAACAAAATCCACAAACACAGATAACACACTTTTTACACCAACACCTTCAAAAACATGTGAAGATTTTAGCACAATATCTAAAACACAATTCGAAACGGAACTCATAAATAAAGAAATCGAGTTGCGAAAGCAACTCCAAGACGAATTCGATTCAAACTACGAATCGTTAAAACAACAACTCACAGTTTGTGAAAAGTGCTCAATACTGACCCAAGACTTGGAACAAAAACAGCGCCAAATAGAAGAGATACAAGGAAAACAAGCACAATTATTGGAAACTATACAAACTCAAACAGTTCCGTGTGAAATGTGTGATGAAATGAGTGTAAATTTGATCAAACATGTCGAAATCATTCAACAACAAGAGAATCAACTAGATTTATATAAAATGAACCAGGAGAAAGACAAAAAAGTTATTATACAATTATTGGAAGATTGGAAAATGCGTTTTGAAAAGGTTGAGGGAGAAAATAAAGTGTTAAAACAACGTCTGGAAGAAGCAATTAAGTCGCTCAGTCGTGCACAGACTGAACTAGTTTTAGTTACAAAATCAGAAGAAGATTTAATTCAGATGGTGGAAAAGAAAGTAGTAGCATGGAGTCAACACACAGTGGAACTGATAAAGGCGCACAATGAAAAGATTCGTGAAAGCAAGGAGAGAATGGATGTTATCTCGTTGCGAACAAATAAGCAGGTAAAATGTTACATTCTACACCATGAAGTATTAATATTAATTATTTAAAATCTTTTAGCTTCGAGAAATCGAGAGGAAATACAATCTGGTGCAGTCGGCTATTTCTTTCAAAAAAGTTTAGAATATGAAAATAATTTCCAAGTACTGTTTCAAAAATGGTTCAGTGTATTAATGTTTGTAAACAAGGGTAATTTTGTGTAAAGTTATCCTAATTAATTAAACCATATGTTAAGAATTAGTGAATCATGTGTGCCAGGTTCCAATTTTGTTGAATCTCCAAACCGCTCTCAATGTTTACGCCGTCCTTTGTAATAACCCCCAGTTGATACTTAGGGAAACTACGCGCGTCACGATAGAACAACACCTCCATACATTTCTTAACCAGCTCACAAGCTTCCGCTTGATTCATCTGCGGGTTTTTATCGATTGCGGCACGAAGGATGGGTAAAGCCATGTATGCGCCGTAACCTGTACAAATGGTGCTATCCATGTAGGCTGTGCCTAGTTTATCAACAGTTCCAAGGAAAGGTTCACCATTCTTGAAATTAAAGTTTGTTTAGAAACATTTAGTTGGCCTAACAAGTATTAATAAATATTCTTACTTCAATTCCACCAATAACCAAATTATTCCAGAAGGGATCAAATTTGTTCCTCCTATTGTACATTACCCTGGTCAACCAGCAGTACATTGATTTAGGTTTTAACTTGAAGCCATCATCCAAACATTCTTCATCAATACTGCACAAACATTATTTAATTATTATTATGCAGTCATTGTTATTATATCTACTTACATTTTCTGCTCAATTAAATCTTTTAAATACTGGAAATCACCATAATCTCCACCTGCCCCCATGATAATATTATCATTGACTTTCATTAATCTTGGGCAATTTCTAAAACGCGCTAGTGAACCATATGAACCCAAGATATCTCCAGCCATTACAACACCCCCATCAAATTTAAGAGCAACAATTGATGTCGCTGTAGTAACCGGTGCCCTAATAAATGAAAAGAAACAATTATAATTCTGCAAATCATTTGGTTTATAGGTTAGAACTGCACTTACTGTGATCTTTGCGCGAAATCTCCGCTTGCGTTATGTGCATTTATGTTAGGAAAGTTGTAGAGAGCACCTGGTGCAGGGCCATTCCGCCAAAAAGGCATAGCGCTGAAGGAATCCGGAGTATTCATTATTAAATTTCAATTTACAAAGCTCACAACTCAAACCGGGCGAAGTATGACAGTGAGCAACAGTGACAATGCAAGATGCACTGAATTTAACGGGGAGAACAACGAAAACAAATGTTATTCGCGCATGCGTATTTTATACTTCACTTTCAAAACTAATTTCTAACTTTTTAGGAACAGAAATAAGATTTAACTTAATTTATAGCATCTTATTATTGCATCAAAGTAGTGCAAATCTTTTTGATTACTAGATTTATTAATTATATTTATATTAACGACTGAGATTAACAGAAAACCACATGACATGCGTATCAAATTTGGATATTCGTGAAGCTTGCGCAGAGTAAGATAGTTTTGTGAGTGTTCCAAGAAAATAAAATAAGTTACACATTTATTAAAATTACATCAAATATTTTTAAATAAATATTTGTATTGATTGTTTAGAGCATTCTAATTAAAGTTAATGCTTATTTTTGTTTTAAATAATCTTTTAGTTAGTTTTTTCTCTGTTTGTTGTTTTTATTAATTTGAACGACTACTGTATGGCCCAGTATAAATTGAACGCAGTAGGAAAATGGCTGAAACTAGAATGTTTGTTTGTCCCAATTTTTAATCGTGGTCCACAGCAGCAATAAAACTGCATCATCTATTCGTGTTGACTATAAATAAAAACAAGGTAGCCTCATATACATGCAATAGTATAATAATAAATTACGTAATTACAATATCACACATTTTGCATCGCCACTTTTTACTCTAAATAAATGTGCGTTTAAGTGTACAGTGTAAATCATTGTGCAAATTTTAGGTGTAATGTTCGCTCATTCTGAACATGTCGTACACCGAACTTGAGTATGGATATCAAGGTTTGCGAAAAGCCGCACGGCCAACGCAGTTCTACATCGGTGGAGTAAGTAATGTGCATTGCATGCTCAGCTATATCTTAATTTATTGATTATTTTGAGCGCAATATGTACATGTACATACGCACCACTCGCCAGTAAAAATAAAAGTAAACGTAAAGCAATAGTTCCAATACAATTACTGTCTGTGTATTAAAATATATGCCACAAAATGCCACAAAAGCTAAAACCCAGCAAGCAAGCAAGCATTACTGACTATGGAGAGATACCAACTATCATTGTTGATCATGTTGATAGCCCCATTCTGAGCACTATTCTATGGCCTTTGAAGAGGGTACATGAGAGAGATATATTGATTGTTTGCGTTCCGAGTTTTTTTTGTTGTCAAATAATCACAAGCAATTTATGCTATAAAGTGTAGTATATTTGTCTGAATCAAAATTATATTGATACAACAATATGAACAGCCAAGCTTTTTCATAAAATTTGGATGATGCAAACATTTGGGCACAAATTGAGTTAAAATGAGTTGCGCTTATTTATAATCACAGTACCTAATCACAGTTTTGTTCCAAAATAATCCAAAATTTGCATGAAGATTTTAAATTTTTTTGATATTTAAATATTTAATTTATTTTTGACTATTATACTACACTTACACTTAAATTACCATGAATTAAGATTCCTATGTTAATTTATTCAGCAAAAATGATTAACATCTGTTCAAGTTTGAGTGCAGAGTCTAAAATAGTGTGCAATTTAACATATTTTGTTTGGTGTGCTCCAGTGATAACAAAATGGCGTCTGACTTTGACTTTATATTCATGGATGTAGAAATAAATATTTCTATTAGTACAATATTTTCTTAGAATAAATTAACATTGACTTCTTTTAGGGCGATATTGAACTATGCGATCCCAGCGGCAGCATGAGCAACGAGATGGAAGACAATGGCAAGCAGGTGGTGGTGGGCGTCTGCGCTATGGCGAAGAAATCCCAGAGCAAGCCGATGAAAGAGATCCTCACGCGGCTGCAGGAGTTTGAATACATCAAAGTGAACGTCTTCCCGGAGGAAGTAATTTTAGAAGTAATGCCCTTGCGCTGTTGCATGTCGTAGTAATTGCTAACTTATGTCGCTTGCAGAAGCCAGTGGAGGAATGGCCCGTCTGCGACTGCCTCATCTCATTCCACTCTAAGGGTTTTCCGCTCGACAAGGCTATTCAATATGCGCATCTGCACCATCCGTATGTTATCAATAACTTGCACATGCAATACGACATACAGGACAGACGCAAAGTTTACTCCATTCTGCAGTCCGAGGGTATTGAGATTCCTCGATACGCGGTTTTGGATCGAGACAGTGCTGATCCTAAAAGTAAGCATATTTTTAGGAATACGAATATAAAAAATAAGAATTTTTTATAACTTCGGTCAAAAACTGACAGTTACCTTAATATTAATACATTATCTAAATAGATCATGAACTAGTCGAGTCCGAAGACCACGTTGAAGTTAACGGGATTACATTCAACAAGCCATTCGTAGAAAAACCAGTCTCAGCTGAAGATCATAACATTTACATCTATTATCCAACTTCAGCTGGTGGTGGCAGTCAACGTCTATTTAGGAAAGTAAGTGTATTCATGTTAATATTAATAGTTTATATTAATATATTACATTTTGTTCTATTAATAGATTGGCAGTAGAAGTAGTGTGTACTCACCGGAGTCGCGCGTCCGTAAGACGGGCAGTTTCATCTACGAGGACTTCATGCCGACGGATGGTACAGATGTAAAGGTAATGTACAAGGTCCGTTCGTTTTTATTTTTTATGCACTAGATATTAAAGTCGGCAAACAAACTAATCGTATGCACCTCTAACTTGGAGATGGCGTACAGCGAGTACTGGCTTCCCTCTGCTTCGAATAACAAAAACACATGATATTGACTGATATCTAGCGTATTCAAATAAAAAATAAAAACCAGCACTACTCAAGGCAATAATAATACATAATAATAATTAACTCGCAGTAATGAGTGATTTAGTTGCATATTGGCATTTTATTGGCATTTGTTTATTGTTTATTTGATTTTTGCTTCGAAGGTGTACACCGTGGGTCCGGATTATGCACATGCAGAAGCCCGGAAGTCACCTGCGTTGGATGGGAAAGTGGAGCGTGATCGTGATGGGAAGGAGATTCGCTATCCTGTGATACTTAGTAATGCGGAGAAGCTTATTTCAAGGAAAGTGTGTCTTGCTTTTAAGCAGGCTGTTTGTGGCTTTGATTTACTGAGGTATGCAAAATGTTAGTTATAATATTACATCATTAATGATATAATTTTAGGGCAAATGGTAAATCATTTGTATGTGATGTAAATGGCTTCAGTTTTGTAAAGAATTCCAACAAATACTATGATGATTGTGCCAAAATATTAGGGAATATGATTTTACGCGAACTTGCGCCGACTTTGCATATACCTTGGTCGGTGCCGTTTCAGTTAGATGATCCCCCAATAGTCCCTACAACATTCGGAAAAATGATGGAATTACGATGCGTTGTAGGTGTAATTAGACACGGGGATCGTACTCCCAAACAAAAAATGAAAGTAGAAGTTAGACATCCAAAGTAAGTCACCTTAATTTTCCATATGTTAATTTATTACCACTTATTTTTATAGATTCTTCGAAATTTTTGAAAAATACGACGGTTATAAACATGGCCATGTAAAACTAAAACGGCCAAAGCAATTACAGGAAATTCTAGATATAGCAAGATCTCTTTTAGCTGAAATTCAACAACATGAGGCAGATCCAGAAATTGAAGAAAAACAAGGAAAATTAGAACAGCTGAAAAGCGTTTTAGAAATGTAATTATCTTAATATATCCGTGTTTTACTGGATGTGTGTTTGTTTTGTGTTTATGTTTTAGGTACGGCCACTTTTCAGGGATAAATCGAAAAGTCCAGATGAAATACCAACCGAAAGGCCGCCCCCGCGGTTCGAGTTCGGATGACGGTAAACCCAACCTTAGTACGCCTTATTTACTTATTTTTATCTATATCGCCAAACAAGAGCTGTTTGATTATTTTTATTTGATAGTTCAGTAGTTATCACTTTGCATTTCACACTCGATATAATCAAACAGTTGTCAATCGCTTAACAAAAAAAAAAAAAAGAAATAGTTGTGTTGATGTGATGTAAATTCAAGATGTCGCCGCTTTTATTGCATTCGGAGTAATGTCTCCGCGGCGTGCTGCGAAGCTAATTCATGAATTCATGTTTTGTAGTAGATCGACCAGTAGAGCCGTCATTAGTGCTGATATTAAAGTGGGGCGGCGAACTGACTCCCGCCGGCCGCATTCAGGCCGAAGAGCTGGGGCGCATCTTTCGTTGCATGTATCCCGGAGGACAAGGTAGACATCTTGCTGGTTCGTATTAGGCTTTTTTTCTTTGATTTATTTTCCTTACATTAATAGCACCGTTTTTATTGAGAGCTTACTTAGAGTCTGACGATAATTTTGGGTAATTATTTGTGTGTGACCGACCTATCATCACGTTTCATTTGCTTTTGATGATTGAATTCAGTATTTTTACGTTTTTATTTGTTTGTCTATCGTTTGTCGCTATTGATTAAACACCACAACTGATTGAGATTTGTTTCTTAGGTGAATACGCAGGCGCGCAAGGATTAGGTTTATTGCGCCTGCATTCAACCTTCAGGCATGATTTAAAAATTTACGCTTCTGATGAAGGAAGAGTACAAATGACGGCGGCGGCATTCGCTAAGGGTTTGCTAGCGCTTGAGGGCGAACTTACGCCAATTTTAGTTCAGATGGTTAAGAGTGCCAATACTAATGGACTTCTAGATAACGACTGTGATAGCAGCAAATATCAAAATATGTAAGTGAACATAACCTGATTTAATAACCTACTAAACGTAATTAAACTATTCAGGTGTAAGGCAAGACTGCATGAACTGATGCAACTAGATCGGGAGTTTACACCCGAGGATAGAGAGAAAATTAATCCTGGAAATTCTGTTAGCATATCAGATGCTTTGGAATTTGTAAAAAATCCAGTCCAATGTTGCCGCAATGTGCACGAATTGATCAAAACTTTAATGGAAATTGTTAAACAGAAGAAAGACGATCCTAAAACAAGGGACGCCGTTTTATATCATGGTGAAACTTGGGAACTGATGGGTCGTCGTTGGGGCAAAATTGAAAAAGATTTCTATACAAAAAACAAAAATTTTGATATTAGTAAAATTCCCGATATCTATGACTGTATAAAATACGATCTACAGCATAATCAACACACATTACAATTCGAACAAGCAGAAGAGTTGTATATCCATGCAAAATACCTTGCCGATATTGTCATTCCCCAGGAGTATGGTCTCACCTCTCAGGAAAAACTCACAATTGGTCAAGGCATTTGCACTCCTTTGTTAAAGAAAATTCGTGCAGATCTACAGCGTAACATTGAAGAGAGTGGTGATGAAACTGTCAATCGTTTGAATCCTCGGTATTCTCACGGTGTGTCGAGTCCAGGACGACATGTTCGCACAAGATTATATTTCACGAGTGAAAGTCATATTCATTCTTTGATCACAGTCCTACGCCACGGACAACTATTAGATGTAAGTTAATCATTCTAAAGTGGAATGGATTTAAACTCGTTATGTCTTTGGCAGATACGGATCGATGAGCAATGGCGTCGAGCAATGGAGTACGTGTCCATGGTGTCTGAGCTCAACTACATGTCGCAGATTGTGATTATGTTGTACGAGGATCCTACAAAGGATCCTTCAAGTGAGGATCGTTTCCATGTTGAGTTGCACTTTAGCCCAGGAGTTAATTGCTGCGTACAGAAGAATCTGCCACCAGGACCTGGCTTCCGTCCACATTCTAGAAATGAGAGTGTTGCGAGTAAAAATGCTGTAGGTTTCCTAGTTTAATCTCTAAACTGCCAACCTAACCACAATTTATTACTAGAGTAATAATACGTCTGCTACCGCAACACCGGAAGAACCCAAGGATGGCTTCTCGCAGAAAATCGAAGAAGAAGGTTGTATTTCGAGTGATGACAACATTGATGCCCCGAAGGAAAGTGACTTATCACCATCTTTGGATTTAGCGTCACCCGGCAATGCCGATTACTACTATCGACATCCGACGAGTGAACCCATTCCAATAGGAAGTTCACATACCGTTTGTGGCCATGAAGCTATGCACCTTGCCAAGAGACTGAACGAAGAACTAGCGCAACAGTCAAAGACGCAGGGGACAACAGGAGGCCGTACTTTTGCGGCACGCGCAAGGAGTCCTGATACTGAGCCCAGATCAAAGAGCTATGACAGTAAACAACCTGCTGAACAGCAAAAAGGTAAGCGGATGTTAAGCATTGGTTCTACCACTGCCAAAGGATGCTTAACATCACTTGTTAAACGAGTTTTTTTCGCATGAGCAGAGCTAATATAAATAATATTAATTTTACATACGATTTTGGTTGTGTAAAATCAAATATTATTTGTGGCATAATCACGAAAGTGTCGTCTATTGGGGCACTAATTCCTGCGTTGATTGCTTGTTGTAATGATTTGGTTCATCATCGCAAGCATCACATTGGATCTGACCATCTAATAATAATAATTTTATTAATTACAATTAATAATATGGCAGCGACTACCACCGGGACAACTTGCATGCCGAAGTGTTTAGTTATTATTATTTGCTGTAACATTGTTTCCTGACAAACTCGTCTGTTTGGTGGTTCCGTGCGATTGGTGGTGCTATTGAACCGTAGAAGCGGAAGGTATTTGAAACACCGGCGCTTCCACCGGTGTTTCACTTGCCTTCATTCCACCGTGTCTCTTTGTGACTTTTCTCCGTTCTCCCTCATGTCCACACGATTCTGGTGCGTCTCGACTCTGTGTATCTCTTTCACGCATGGTTAGCCGCATCAATTTTTCTCATCACTCTATATTTGATTAACACCAGCTCATCGAAATAACACTAACCAGGCCCGTCCGCCCGTTTCATTATCGTACTTGCACGACATGCCGCATGCGTTTATTTGTTGGCTCACCACTAATCAATAATAACGGGTGCTGGGCGCATCGAAGATGTAAGTACATCGCATCTGCATTTGGTAGTGTTTCCTTTTTGACTAACGCGACTTATTGAATATAGGGTGATTGGGATTAATCTTAAATTTCTTCTGTTTGTTTCCTTGCTCCCCCTGAATGGCACACACATCCTTTCACATCGCGTGCATGTTGCATCTTCATTTATGAACGACAGACCCTGTTTCCACGCGCGTATCCAAGGTGCCAGTGAAATTACTCGCGAATAGCGACTTCACGCAAACGGTGCATAATTTTACGTTTACGCCTATATCCCCTGCGGCTAAATTATTATCACAACATCCTCAACTTAGCCCAATCTCGGGGTCATTTGACTATGAGGGACACAGCGAACTTAATTCACCGGTTACTGTATCAAAGACAACGCGCGCGAAATCTCCTACAAATGAATGCCCTCTATCAGATTTAAAATTCTCGATGGATTCTTCCAAACGAGCTAGTGTGGAAAGTGCAACTAATGAGTTGCCTTTAACTGAACTCAACTTAGCACTCTTCACTTCAAAGCATGATACTCCTCCGAATAGTTTAGAATCAATGAAACAGTATGTAGACGAACAAGCTGATTGGGTAAATTCTCAAGAGGGTTTCTCGGATGAAACTCAGAAAAAGAAGCGCAAGCTTGCGACCACACGCGCTCCCAATTTTTCCGCGCATCGATCCTACTCGGATCCTAATATCCTCGACTCGCACAAAGTCGAGACCAACCGATTACTCTTGAGACGTCTGAACGAGGCCCTGCTAAAGGACTCGAACGGCGTCGGCGGTTGCATGGACAAATCGAGCCTGTCCCCAGACGACGTAAATATCTACCCGTTCAGCTTTTATCCATACAGTCACACCCATTCGGACCCTATCTGCCACCTGACGTCTCACCAGCTTTGCTCATGTTTCCGTCGCGCCACCACGAACTTGCTTTCCTTCTTCTCGTCACACCCAACCACCATGCGTTCAATGTCACAACCCGATTCCAATTGTTCCACTCTAGAGGCCGGAAGTACGGTGCAAAGACGCCATCGCCACAGTATCGCCGGACAGATGAGCTATTTCAAGATGCTAGGCTTCGGTTTCGGCGGGCCGATCGCATTCAAAAAGTTGACGGGTGGCAGCACAAACTCGCTCTTCTCGACCGCGGTTATCTCGGGTAGCTCAAGCGCACCCAACCTGCGAGATATGATTCCAAGCTCCTCAAGTGTCGCAGGTGAGCAATATTTTCACTCCTGTTGAACCGCAACCGCATCCATTTATATTTAGTTATAGAAGGTTTCGGTGGAGTACCACCAATTCGTCCACTAGAAACGCTACACAATGCATTGTCCTTAAAACAATTGGACACGTTTCTGGATCATATGACGTCCGCACCACTCTTCCGAACGCCGTCTTCAACACCACCTAAGTATCCTAGCACACCATTGCCCACCCCTACTGCAGTGGTACATACTATCAGCAGCAGTGGTAATCCGCCCCTGCGACTTCAATCACCCGGAAGCAGTAAGTGCACATTAAGTAACTTAAGTTACGTTTTAAAAATTTTCTGAGTTTTACTATCAATTATTTTATATCAATTATCAGGTATTGGATGGAGCGGACCTCCGAGTTTGATGTCAAGTAGCGGGCCATCATCACCCGGTTTATCAGACACCTACTCCAACTCGAAGGATAACAGCGAAATGTCCTCAAGCATCATCAGCGGAGATGGGTACTTATGATAGCTATAGCCACAGCGCAAACTATCAGGAATCGTCCATTTGTTTATAGACTCATGCATCACCATGCACCATTTTTTGTTAACCGATTATTACCTGTGTTCACGTCTGGCACTGGCAGCGACGGGTTGTGTTTTTGAGTATTTCGCGTTGCCGTGGAGGAGTGTCTTTGCTTCAGTTCTTTCGTTTTTTTTGACGTGTGATACGTAGTTGTGCGAATTTAGTTTAGTGCGTTCTTTCTTCGCTGGGGCGATGCTAGTAAACGTTCTGTTTAGATTACTGGAGACCGCGCACATATTTACGTCCACGGCGTGCCAAAATGTCGGCATTGGCGGCATGCTGTTGCACTCCGGTGATCAGGACGCCGGGCCCGGCTCCATGGAATTCTCAGAGTTTTACGCGAGCATTCAACAATCGATGAATCAAGGTGAGCAATAGTGTAACACGTCGACAATCAATAATCATTCAATTATTAGGCGACAGTGGTGAAGTCACACCAGTTTCCTGCGGATCTGAAATCGAGTTCAACACCAACGACGCTACAGCGGGATCCACCGCAGATTGTGATCTCACAGTGACTGAAGACACCGATTCGATGCTTTTTGAAGAATTGGAGGGTGAAAAAGTAGACGATCAAGTGGAGAGGTGTGTGAATGCCGTACAGGAGAAATGCGTATCAAGAAGAAACAAGTATCAACATGTTGAGAGTATTCATTGGACCCAACCAGAATCTACTGATGATAATAAGTCTCATGAAGCTACTGCACCAGAAAAGTTGCCACCCCCAATTATAAAAACTACGGCGCCAATTAACGATAAGCTGAAATATTTACAAATCGGCGAACAGACAAGGAGGTCCAGTGATGTGCCTACCACCAGTATAGAGAATTTAAAGAAATCTGGACGCAGTCAGTCGCTGGTGGAAGGCAACAGTAAACCAAACAGATTTACGACGACCGTTGTCAAAGAGGATGAGCATACTGCATCACTGAGTGATTCTAGTAAATTTAATGTGTAGAATAATTTAAATGAATTTTACTGTTTATATGTTATACCAATTGTCAAATTATAGATATGTTATTAATTGTATCATCAAGGGAGGAACGAATGTGGAACGAATTATACATGTATTTTTGATAATAGAACAATAAAATGTTAAAAGTATACAGATTTAAAACGCTGTAAATTGTCTGGAAGTGAGCTAAAATGGTTAAATGTTTTTCTAATAAACTCTGCTGTTAATGGTCTCAAGCCCACATGAGAAAAGAGGAGGGTTTAGAAAAATTGCTGCCAACCCATCCCTTGTAAAACACGACGACTGCTCATAGAAATACAACAAATGCCTTGGAAGGACAGAAACACGGAACGAAAAACCGGAGCGGAAAAAATTATGGAAAGCGAACAATAAGAAAATTGAGCGCGCGGAGCATCACCTTGATTCAAGCAGCAAACGCGCGCCTGCGCATACCGCAAAGTTCTCTAATGTGGTAGGCCCTCAAACTACATCGATAAGTACACAACTTCCAACACGCTTGATACGCTGTACGATATGGTAGGAGGCGCAAAAACGTGTTGAGTACATAACCTAACAATTTGTCGTCGGGTTCAACTCAATCCTAAATATTTTGTTGGATAACGTAAAAAGTGTACAAAAACATAATCATGAATACAATGTTTGATGGAAGCGATGACTCCGATACGGAAGTCAATTTCAAGACCACAAATGAGTACGCAAAAAATTATAATTCATGGAGACAAAAAGAGCTCCTCAATTCATGTAAGTAAACAAAATTATTGCTATTTACTAAACTTAACTGTTTCTGGCAGAATATATTATTAAATATATTGTTTTTGTGTTTTAGTAAAAACTAAGTATAAAGGTGATTTAAATAGTGATGAAGACACCAGCAGTTCAGATGAAGATGAGTCTGATATTGAATTGCCTGACAAGGTAGAAATGGACTTCTTAAAAACCTTATCTAGTTTGAAGAACAAAGATCCCAAAATTTATGATGATAGTGTGAAGTTCTTTGATGATACACCAATTGATCCCACTGTTAAAAAGAAGAAAAAGGAACAGACCATGTTTTTGAAAGACTATGAAAGACAAATGTTATTGGAACATGGTAGTAAAGGGTTTGATGATGAAGATAATGAAGATCCACAATCAAGGTATTGTATTTTATAAATCATTTATCAAAGTTATTAAAGTTTAATTTAAAGGGGATTAACATATGTGGAAGAACAAGAAAATATCAAAAAGAGTTTGAAATCTGCTCTAGAAGAGGTTGAAGATGAAGATGAGAATTTTGGTGGTTTGTTTCAAACCCGTGTAAAGTCTAAAGTTGAAGTTGAAAAAGAAGAAGCTAACTACAAGCAATGGTTAAAGGGACAGAAGGACAAACTTAATAATGCTGAAGATGAGACCAGTTTAAAACCATTAAAGGATCATTGGAATGATCCTAATTTAGATGCTGGTGAAAAGTTCCTAAGAGACTATATTCTCAATAATCGGTTTAAGGAGAGTAATGATCCTAACTATGTGCCAACATATGATGAGATTGTTCATGATGATGAAAAGTTTTCTGATGATGAGGAAAATGTGGACAAACAAGAAGAGTTTGAACACAAGTTTAATTACAGATTTGAGGAACCAGATCAGGAATTTGTAAGTTCATTGTATTTTTATAACAATTTGTTTGTTGTTAATTAAATTTCGTTATAGTTGAAAAGATATCCAAGAACAGTGGAGAATTCATTGAGAAAAACAGATGACCGTCGCAAAACAAAACGTCATGAATTGAAAGAACGCAAAGCTTTAGAAAAACAAGAAAAGATGGAGGACCTGCAGAAACTAAAAGAAATGAAACGTAAAGAAATCGAAGAAAAAATTAAAAAATTGAAGGAAATTACGGGTAACACCGAAGTAACTTTTCAAGATCAAGATTTTGATGAAGATTTTGACCCAGATGCGCATGACAAACGAATGCAGACACTTTTTAACGATGAATTTTACACTGGTGAAGAAGGCGACGAAAAACCGGAGTTTCCGGATTTAGATGAAGAGCTTGAGATTGAGCGATGGGATAAACTTCATAAAGATCAAATAAATAATGATACAGAGTATAATGATGGTACTTATGCAGAAGATGAAGATTTCAACATGGACTGTGATTATGATCCTTCCACTTCTACGCAAAATGAACTCATTGAGAATACGAAAGGTAAAAAGAAACGCAAACGAAAATCAAAATTTGCAAAGGCAGTCAGCGAAACAAAACCTGTTTTTGATCCAAATGATAAGACATATGAAGAATATTTAGATGAATATTACAAGTTGGATTGTGAGGATATTGTTGGTGGCATACCGTGTCGATTTAAATATCGGCAGGTTGCGCCGAATAATTTTGGCTTGACTATTGAAGAAGTAAGTAATAGTAAATATTTTATTAATTTGTTTTCATGTTATGCGCTGTTTCAGATTTTGACTGCAAATGATAAAGAATTAAATCGTTGGGCATCAATCAAAAAAGCGATGCAATATAGGCCAGATCATATTGAAAAATACGATCAGATTGCTTATTCGAAGAAAGCACAAAACGAAGCATTAAAAAGGAAGATTTTACCTAGTTTATATGCGGATGAAGGTACAAGTTCTACTGAGGTAAACGAATCCCAAGATGTAGGAAATAAGAAAATCAGAAACGCTAACAAAAGGAAACAAAATGCCATGGATGCAACCATTGTAGAACCAACAGAAGAAAATTTTGATGTAAAACCATCACAATCAAACAAGCAGGAAGATACAACAGATGAAAATAATCAGAAACCAAATAAAAAAGGAAAAAAGAAACGAAGTGTTGAAAATCCACAAGAACAACCAAAATCGAAGAAAATTAAATTCAACGCATCAACGAATAGTACAGAAAATGAAAGCAATGTCATAGTTGAGCAAACGTCAAAGAAAAAACAGTCGAAAAAGAAATCAGTAGATCAAAATGGTGAAATAACCGTAGATTTCACAGAAACGAAAGAAAAAGCAGACGGAAACTTAACAAATAAAATAAATAATGCAACAACCCCAGTAAATAATACCAATAACACGTCGAAAGCAAAAAAGAAGAAAAAGAAAGCCAAACAAACACCTGACACAAGTTTGATCAATAACGAGACACCTTCCAAGAAGAAAACTAACAAGGCTGGTAAGCAAGGCAACAAACCACAAAAAAGTAAAAAAGCAAATCATAATGCGAAGAATAACAACAAAACTAAAAATAAGACGGAAACGACTTCTCCTGCATGTAAATTATCTGACGCAAGACTTCAGGCGTTCGGCATCAAGCCGAAAAAGTTCAAAAACAAGCTGAAATACGGCAATAACGCACATATATAATTTTATGTAGGAATTTAATTCGTGAATAGAGTAGGATTATTAAAGGAATGAAATAATTTTATTCAATTATATACTTGATCAGACATTTATTATAGTTTACAGGTTTACATCAATAGTTGAATGCTTCAGAACTTTTAATAGTTTGTAATTAAAAAAGTTAAATAAAATAATCATAATTTTGTGATCACTTAATTTATTATATATTTCACTTTCTTCTTTGTCTTAAGCTAAGGTGAATTAGAAATATCCATGTTGTCAGATTTCTCGGACGATTCCTTATCGACAGTTTCCGATCCATGGCGACTCGCGCTGCGCTCCTTCTCCGAGTCAAAACCTTTTTCCTCCTCGTCGTAATTTCGAGGAATTTTCGACCGTGATCTAGAACGCTCCTTGCGCTCTTTTCGGTCCTTCTTGCGTTCCTTATCTCTACTCTTCGAGCGACTGCGACGTCGTTTATCTTTTGACGAAGAGCGTTTCTTTCGATCGCGCGAACGAGATCTATCCCTTTTTTGTCTTTTGAACGTGTAGACTTATCCCTTGATCGGTCCCGAGAGCGATATCTGCCGCGTGATGTCGATCGTGATCTTTTCTTCTCGCGATCATCGTCATCTCTATCCCGGTCGCGTTTATCTTTCTTATCGACATCTCTTCTCGAAGATCTTTCTCGGGACTTATCCCGAGACTTTCGATCTTTGCGATCTGTAGACTTGTCTCGTGATTTGCGATCACGTTCGCGCTCGCGGTCTTTCGACCTTCTACGCGATTTTGTTTTAGAATGCGAACGGGAACGCGATCTTCGTTTGTCTCGCGAGTTTGATCGTTTGGACCTGGAACGCGACCTGCGCCTTGATCGAGATCTTCTTCGGCGATCGCGAGATCTGGATCGAGAGCGGCGTCTTCCTCCACCTCCACCACCACCGCCACCTCCGCCTCCACCCCGAGAACGAGATCTTCTCGATCTAGAGCGGGATCTTGACCGGCGCCGTCTTCCTCTTGACCTGGAGCGTGATCTTCTTACACTTCTCTTATCCTTTGAAAGCATGCCAATTACTGGATCAATTGCTGCTGAGATTAAACTTTGAGCTTCCTTTACTCTGCTCATAGCCTCCTCAATCTCTCTCTGAGCTGCTTCATTACTTTTAGCTTGAGGTTTGACAATAGCTTGTGTTGAATGTCTGATAGTTACATTCCTACCTTTCAATTCATTGCCATTCAATTTCAAGGCATTAATAATACTACCTTGTTCAGTAAATTCCACAAGGAAGTATTCTGAAGCATCTGAAGCTCTTCTACATGTTCTAATATACTTCACTTCCCAGCAGGAGCAAAAAATTCGGCAATTTCTGCAACTGTAGTAGACAAATCAAGATTCCCTAGCAGAATGGTCCTTCGTACTTCCTCAATCTTTGCACTGTCATAGTTCACAGGCAATGGGGGATAAGGTGGCAGCCCATGAGCATCTAACTGTGGGTCTGAGGTTAAGATTACCTGCTCCAAACCAGTTCCACTAATAGTGTTAATTACATTTGGTGGTAACTTTGGTTCTGAAGGACATAATCCCGGTACAATCGTTCCATTGCGCGTCATTTCCAGGGCATAATATTCATCGGGGATGTCTCCGTTTTGTACAGGGATTACAATAAGTGCGCGGTCGATGAAGACTGTGTTGGTCATGTGCTGTGCGATGCCCACCGTGTTCGAGTCCAAGAACTTGATGTAACAGATTCGCGACTGCACTGGACATGAAACATCGCGCACTGTTGGGTAAAGGCGGATATCGTCTATTTTGCCAAGAAAGCCAAAGAGCGTCTGCATCTGATCTTTGGTTGCCTGGGGAGCGATGTTCGTCACTTGGACGACTTTCGTGCCGCCTGCGGCCATCGCGAGGAGTTTTGTGGGTTAGTTGGCACTAGCACTTCACGAGAACATTATTTATAAAGTGAAATTACGAAGAACGCAACGATGCCGGCGAACACTAAGAAACTGAATGCGGACTGCGGCGAATGCGGTGAATTTCGGCATTTTAACGCATGTTGACGCTTGACATTTGCAAAATGTTATGCATTGTTGCCAAATATTGTATAACATTGACACGAGTGACTCATTATAATGAGATAAGAATATCTAATTACAAGAATTTCAAGGTTTTGTCTAAAAACATGGAAAATTATTGTGAAATGCATAGTATTACGTAACTAATGTACTTTTAATGATTGCAATTTTCAGACATATTGCGCTGTTGTCGGACATAACAATTTTTAGCACTTTCTTATAGGCAACCAATTGACACCAGCATTGAAATTTAAAAAATATCCTGCAAATAACTGAGTATTTTTTTAAATTATTTCAAAATAATTTAAATATTATATAAATAATATTTGCCTATTTAATTCAACTGAAACTGTAAGAAAATTTTAAATTAACTATATAGTACATCATTTTGCACAAGTAAGCGGGCGCCACCTTGTTTATTTAATCGGTACTTGTGGCATTCTGGCAATCGTCATTCGTCGCTGTAGTAGTGCGCGAGTGAGGTTCATGAGCACACGTGAAACGGATTGGATCGGGGTCGCGAGACATTCAATTCACGTTCGTTTTTGGCCAATATGGAATCGTGGGGTGTGTATTTATCACAAAGAATGCGTATAATAAACCGTAACACGTTCTCGTTTATTTTTAGACGACGATAATTTCGAGCCCGAGGTGAAGGTGATAGTGCCTACTGCAGCGACCAATAAATGGGAGGGCGAGGACGAGGATGACGATATTAAGGTAACACGCGTGCACACGTCTCCACGCACCTGCAGATCTCAATATGCTCTATATCCATGGCTATTATTTTCGGCTATTAAGCCAATTTATGAAGTGTCAAATTTCACCATTAATTTGGGAACTCAAGGATATCTATTTTCTCATCTTCTGTCAACATACTGCAGTGATACAAGATTTGTTTTATTTTAGGATTCCTGGGAGGATGAAGATGAGGAGAAGACAAAAGAGGAACCTAGTGAGAAAGCTGTGCAGAAGGCAAAAAAGAAATCTTTAGCTGAAAGACTAGCAGAGAAACAGGTTTGCAACAATTTATTCAAATTTAATTTATTTTGCTGCTTTACTGAATTATATTATAAAAGTAACTAGATAATACATATAATAGATATGTTTACAATATAGTTACTACTGCAGTTGCTTTATATTTAATTTTTGTGTTGCAGAAATTAAAAATAGAAGAACTTGAAAGGAGGCGAGCAGCAGCTGAAAATGATGATGATGAAGTATCGGCCGAAGAAAAACTGCGCATGCAAAAGGAATCTGATTTGAAATTAGCGCTGGAAACCACGTTTGGCGATGCAGAAACACTGTCCGACTGCCCTACAACGTTAGAGGAATTTGATGAGTATGCGAACGCGCTGATCAGGAAAATTCAACCATTAACGAAAAGCACTGAATTTCCAAACTTTGCTGAAAATTTAGTTCGAGATCTTTGTGCCACACGTAAGTAATATCGTCAATTTGATATCAATTCACTGTAAAAATAACTACTGGTAACATTACAGTGAGTTCATTGGATATTAAAAAGATCAGGAACACAATAGACAATTTGTACTTGGAGAAGCAGAAAGTGGAGAAGGGTGACAAAACGAAAAAGAATAAAGGAAAAGGCAAAGTAAAATTGAAAGTAGAAGATAGTAATGTAAGTATATTATTTTATTTAAATTTACCCCAAATTGATTGATTTTCTGCATGTGGTAATGTTTTGATTATTTTTAGCAATACTCTGCGTACGCGGTCGACCAATACGACGACTACGACGATTTTATGTAGCATCTGACAAGAGTTAGCCACTCTAACTAAATAAATATTTTTGTATCGATTTGCATTATGATTGGATTTAGTGGAATCCTGTTGATTACTTTCTTGCGTTAACACGGCCATTGAACACGTAAATAATTTCTGTTATACATTTTCACCACCGAGTTTCGTCACGGAATCCCAAAAGCGTAGCTAATTTTGTCAGATTTATTACGGAAATAATTACAATTTTACTTATTTTGCATGTCAATTGCGAATTGTATAATGTATTATTCTATTATAAATACTACTGTTTGAAAAAAGAAAACTGTGTACTTTATTTTTTACTTAAGATGTTTTTGTTTTTTAAGAACTAACATTCTGTGAGATTCCACATAACAAATGAAACTTGAATTGAATGGTACGTTGCAATATAGTAAGTTGCTGTCATTCAACACAAAGCAATCAACACATTTAAAGAAAATGTAACAAATGCTCCAGATTCTTGTGCGGACAACGTTGCAACGCATTCGTAGCCAAAAAGGCTAACTTATGCGCATATTGGCACGGTGCGGGCACTCGAACTGATCCAGACCAGTTATAATAATTATGACACAAACGATGCGTCAGAATCTGAGTACCATTTGTGTCCACACCAAACTCGTCTGGTCCCAGAATATTATAATATGTGGGAGAAACTGTTCCTCTATTGGTACACTGGGAAATTAAGTAAAAATCTGACCTATAAACATATAAAAAATAAACATTAGTTGCATAATCTCTTGATAAATCAGTTCTTACCTTTCTGGCATAGTGATGAAATCGTCTACTACTGTTCCAGGTGCCGGATTATTACCATTTTTGAAAATCCTAGCATTGCCTCGCTTGTTGACGACAATTACGCGTAGTCGTAGCTGCAAGTTTTGCTTACCATACAGTGGTATCAACTTCTCTTGAATGCGTTTTATTTCGTGTTCATACACATATTGAATCTGACCATCACCCACACCATCACGAAAAAATAATATTCTTGGTAGTTTCTTATTCTGATTCGTATATTTTGCCAACGCACTTTCCAAAGACATGCTGATGAAATTCGAGAGCTCTTCGCCGTCTTTATGTGCATTCACTGCACTGTAATAAGCGGTGAGTTTCGGATCGTACGAAGCAACAAAAGCACCAAAACTTCTGGACTTATTTTTCGGATCATGGCAGACATCGTATCCGACCACCATTAGATCACTCAAAAATTCAGGCAATTGAATAGTCCAGGGAGCTCCACCACATTTGGAATTTATTTGAATAACCACCTGATACAAACATTATTTGCGTGTAAAGCACGAAACACATAAAATTGTTTATTCTTACCTTTGTAGCAATGCTTAAAGCTTTATTCGAGCGTGGATCAGTTTTTGTAGAGGTCATCACCTGTGAACAGACTCCATGATCTGAAGTCAGCTTCTTTTTGACACGCATGTATTGGTCGTTGCGATTCGGTGGTACAATCACCATAAAAAACATTAATTTTGGATATTTTGCGAAGAGTCCCTCAATTGCTTGAATAATGGCAGCTACATTATAGACTCCTTTTCCGGGGCTGTCATGTATTACCTGAAATATTGGATTACCCAGATTCAAGCCCATTCCTTTTGCGGCTTTCTGCATGAGTGGAAAGAAACCCTTCATGGAATCTCCAAAATTTGCATCATTCTTTGAATAAACAATTGCCCACTGGTCCATTTTTGCAATTCGATACAACGTATTGCTACACACTTTATTCGTCCAGCTTGCTCGATCATCAGCAGAATATTTAGTCCTGCCCCCATTACATAGAAGTTCCTGAATACCCAATTCACGCCCAGAGAATGAAATAATATCCTTAGACAGAGTTAAATCAAATTGTTTCATTTCAACAATGGACTCCGGTTTGCTATGCAATCTTTCGTTAAACTTGAGTAAATCACCAATACGTTTGGCTGGTGTTCTTATCATGTAACCACCCAGTGCGGTCATCATTTGGCGATTAGCACGTTCCTGCTCAGTCAAGCCGGTCATGCGACATAATTCCGGAATGAGAAGCATTGTTAAACTCTGAGGTGAATCCGCAATCGCAGTTTCCCCACGAGGGCGTCTTGGCTTCACTTTGGTTACCAACAATGGCTGAGTTAAATCAGTAAGCTTCAGATTATAGCGCGTGTCGTAGTATTGCCGAAATGATACCGTTGATCCATCCTTCATCTGAAAAGTGCTCTCGGGAGTTCTTTCAAAGTCCACGTCATCAATGTGATAAGTTTTGTTGTTGTAATCAGTCAACACCACTACGTTCAACATTCTGTTCCTGAACGCTGACTCCCAACTATCGCCAGAATGGCGGTCGTTTTTAATCTTTCGAATAACAGACAGAGCTGTTTCAGTTTTCATTACTTTGTGACGAATCTCGACGCACATGAGGATTTCGCGCTCATGTTGGCGGATGGAGTTTACAAAACCGGGCCACAACTCCAGATTGTAGTTGAGAATCACTTCGCGGTTGTCGCGATCGAAATAATCACGACCAATTAATTGAAGATTTAAATGGCTCATGCATTTGCGTACGATTAAGTTGTAGACTTGTAGGTAATGATAGCTACTTTTGTCTAGTTCACCAACCATGCGGATTGTAATCCTTATTTTTTCATCAGGATTAGCTATAAGGTGTAAAAAAATTGAATAGATTATGGTACAAGAACTGAATACGGCTGATCTGCTTTTAACGGAATTTACAATGAAATGTTCATTTCTGAATTACTAAAGGAATTTTGAAAGGATTGCTGACCCATTCCTGGGGCCAACTAATGGCATTTAAAAAAAGTATACCTACTTTAATGTCAAAATGTAAATAAAAATATGATAAACACAATAAAATGGGGTTTTCTATGCAAAGGGTATCATTCTTTAAGGTGCTCGCAATTTTAAATTTGAGTATTTGAGAAGAAATTTATCAGAGAGCACTACATTATAGGTAAATGTCAATCGTTTTGCCAATTAAATTATTATTACGTAACGTAGAAATTAAAAATTTCCTAGTTTGAAAAAAAAAATTCGGTCTTCCATAAAATTACTAGATACAAAACATAAGAAAAAGACTTACTCAATGATGCCACAAGAATCTCCCTGGGATCCGGATGAAGCCTAAATGGAGTATACAAAACGGTACCGTCAAATAATCCCTTTCTAATTTCCATTTTGCAACAGCGTTGTAAAACAGACGTTTCTTAATATGTGTAACATCAAGATCGGGCGCAAAATCGACACGGTATTGAAACAGACACCAGTCAGGTCGTGTCACCAATCGGAAATAATTTGCCTGTAGGGCAACGCTTTTTCCATGCGTACCCTGTTTGCCAAGGTTAGGCAATTTGGTGGTAATGGTCACAGTAGGCAATTCTTTACGCCCACGGCCCCTTCGGTCGCCATGCCCTTGTGGATGAAAAGAAGCTGCTCCATCCTCCGGAGCTTTACGCATTTGCATTTGCTTGTCAGATTTAGGTTGATTTGACGCGTCCCCGCTTTGAGGTGATGGTGTTTGGTCAGTTGAACCTGGTGCATTTTGTCTTGGAGTTAACGATTGTTGACGACTGGGTCCCCATACTACAGGCTGCCGCGGCGGTGTTACCGGAGCTGGTCCCTGTGTTCTGGGTGAACGCAAGGGGTTACCAGATGCCCAAGCACCGGATAGTGTCGGTGGTGGTGGACTATCTGGTGGGCGAGCCCTTCCGCGTGCTCTACCACGATTGCGATTATTCTCCATTAATCTATATCAAAGAAACAAAAAAGGAACCGTTAAATTAATAATAGGTTTGTGGGGAAAACAGGATGGGTTAACAAATCAAATACTTACCCTTTAAAAGCGTTGAATTCAAATAATAATAAAGATATTAAAGTGAGCTCAATATTTCTAACAAGAATATCTTGAGATTGAGAAAAAATTGAAGCAGATTGTGTAAAAGCGACTTGCTAATTACTGGTTTTCAATAGAATGCGGAAAATCGTCAGTTGTTTAAAATGACAGTTTATTTTTTTAACAAATCGTTGCCAACGACAACCATTTTTGTTTTTTGAAATTTGTTTCTCAAAACTGTAACAATTGTTGCGTGGTGACATTCAAGAATTCATTAATTAGGCAATGAAAGGTAATCGTATATTTAACAAACACACAAGAAATAAATGTTTTTCTTACAAATATAATTTGTGTATTCCATTCGCTTCATTAATAAATTTGGATTACTTTCATGCGGACACTGTTCAAAAATCTATACGATACCATTATTTTTCTGCATGAACTTGGCATTTACCTGGGTGCCTAAGAAACAATTGTTATTTCAGTGCCTATGTGATTTAATTTTATTAACATATCCTCAAATGTTTTCAGAGTCAACTTTTTTTAAAAAAAATGTACATTTATTTTCTTTAGAGCCCAAAACAAATAAATGATATATCTTCGTTTACTCATTATTAAATAATGTAAGTAATTATGGTTATCGCAGAATGCAAACAATTTCAACATTGCCTACTAAAATACACTGAAAACTAAAGCTGCGACATATAACGTTCCTTGATCTGCACTTATATTTAATTTACGTTATTGAGTTGTGTGTTCATAGCTATATAGAAAATTATGAGCAGTGTTATATTTGTACTAAATAAGCGTTTTCCATCGAGATTAATACAGATATATATATATAGATAGTAATGTATAATATGCCTGCTGGAGATTAGATAACGCACTGATACCGAGGGGATTGTGAGAATAGCAATGCTAGTATTCTCAATCGTAGGTACCATAAGCATTCGGTATGCAAGAAATGAATAATACTACCACGGCACGGCCGCCGGTACGACCAACGCTGACTGACCACAGTTCACGACTTGATAATGTATTAGCCACACAACCGGAAGCGGGACCTGTTATTCCTGATGGCGGATATGGCTGGATTATTCTCATTGCGTCATTTTATATTAAGGCAAGGAACTTGTGCAATGCATAAATAATAATGTATAATGTAATATTTTGTTTTAGAATATTCTCTCCGGGTTGACCATAACATATGGATTGTTGTTAATGGTGGCAACCCTTGAAAGCGGTAAAATGAGCAATTATTCTCTTTGGAGCAATCACATCGTCAGCACTCCCTTGTTATTCATTGCAGTGCAATCATTATCAGGTATTTCATTTTAATATCTATGCAAAAGATAACAGAAACAGAGCAATGTTATTTTATGACGAGAATAATGTTGAACAAAATGCGTCATGGACAATATTTGAAAGGCAACAGATAATAATTTATTATACAATTGCTGTTAAATTTGATTTTTAATTTGTATTGTATTTGCCCCTAGTTTTCTTTAAAACAGTTCTTAACATAATAGTGGAATTATTGAATTTTGTTTGTTTTCTTCATTTTAAATTTAAAATTAATTTCAAATGATTACTAATAAGAACTTTTGCACTTTTTGCACTTCTTATTAGGAATCATTTGAAATTAATTTTAAATTTAAAATTAACAAAACAAACAAAATTCAATAATTCCACTATTATGTTAAGAATTGTTTTAAACAAAACTAGGGGCGAATACAGTTAAAAGTTTTAGTATTGTATATTTTTTTGTGGAGTAATTTGTGATTTTGTGTGTTTGCAAACTCATAGTTCGATAGTTTATTTTTTTTCCTTTTATTTTTATTATGGCTTCTTTTAAATACTTACGCAAATATGTACGCCAAATGTGTTTTCCATGTTATAATTGTATTTATGTTTAGTGATTTAGTTAGCAAAATGGGAATGATATGTTATTGGGTTTTTATTGGCCGCCATGTGTTCTTTGTATTTTATATCACTGCAAGCCTGCAAGCTTGGTATATTAGATGCAAATTTGTACCTACTCCTATATTCCATTGCATTTGTTTTTGATAGCGTTGATATTGGTGAACCTCATATTTAGTAATTTTTTATGAATTTATTTTATAAGTTGTATTTACATATATTGCCATTTTCACACTTTTAGATCCCATCTGCCACTTAATAATCAAAAACAGTAAATGGCCGCGTTTTGTAGCTCTGGTCGGCATTTGTTTGATTTGTGCAAGCATCCTGATGCTGTGGCTATCAGTGGTTGATGGTTTTGCTAGAACTACATTATGCGTTTCAAGTGGAATCTTTGCAGGTAAAAAATCTATTTGCATTAGCAACACAAGCACGCATTGAAGGAATTGTTTGAAATATTAATGGTTTTCAGGCTTCGGTTCTTCACTAGTTTTCATTCAAATCGATGTATCGATAGCGCAGTACTTTAGACTGAAATTGTCGGCTGTGCAGACAATTCTTCGCCTGGCTGAGTATACTGGCGTTATTTATACAAGTCTAGTCATGGGAAAATATTTGAATATGTACGGAATCGGACATTCGATAATTTGGTATCACTTGGTTGTGCTTACCAGTGGAATGGTAGTGTTAGTTTTCAAGAAACCTGATTATCTGAAGTCTCGACAGGTGTATCGGATAGTTGCGGTATGTTTAAGTTGAAGTTCCATAAAACGATTTGTTTTTTAACTAAATGAACGTTTCTTAGCCGGGAAAACCTGAAGAAGACGATGAAGATGATATCTTCTCAAAAAATCGAATCACCGAACTGCAATCACCTCACACATCTCTACCACCAGTTATAGAAGAAGAGGAGCCATCAACAGCCACTACAACAACCACAGTTGTGATTGAAAACCAACGCAAAAATTGGGAAACTTTCGATGACGAAAAGGAAACAGGTACCAATAACCAGCACCAGGAAGATAATGATGAAGACTACAATGCAGAACTTCCAACACCTAGAGAGCTGTTCACTGAAGGGCAAATCAATCACAATGTCACATACTCTTTCGAGAATGTTGATCATTCGCTAGGAGCACGTGCCAACAGTGACGAGTTGACAAACATTTTCCTTCCCGTTTCAAAAGGCGGCGTATCACACGCATATCTTTATAGTTTATCCTTCTATAACAATTGCCTCCTGCAGGTTTCCATCACTGCTGGCACATTCGTTTTTTTCACTCTGTTTCCATCCTACCTTTATTATAGCGTTAGTTTTCTGCACACACAGAGTATTAGTCATATTGTAAGCATTATCTTCATGGCTTCGTTAGTAGAGGCGTGCTTTATTGGATGTTGGAAATTTTCTAAAAATAATCGAAAGTTTCCGATTGCGCTCTTGCTATGGTTGAGTGCTATTGGTAATTTTTGTAAGTTGCATGTCTTTTTCGAAAGAGCAATGCAATTAATACATTATACTCTACATTTTAGTGATTTCTGATTGGAAAAAGGAAATGCTAATCGTAATCGGAGGGATATTAATCACAACATCCACGTGTGCGTTGCAATTCCTCATCAAGTCAGTTGTAATTAATTCAAAAAGTACTAAGATTGAATACGCAGCTTTAAGAATTTTTTCAGCAATAAGTTTTCTGTTATTCTTCGCAATAAGTAAGTTTATCACCAATAATAAATTTAAACTAAAATATTTCTTTTAGACCCAACATACGAAAACTGTTTCCGGTTAGTTGGGCTGTTGCAATTTTCGGCTGGATCAATAAACTTCTGCAACTTTGTTTACAACAAAATATCCAGAGTATACTAATTGAAACATTATTTTTTACGAATAGATATAATTTATTTAAATTTTAAATTAAATTAAACTATCCTTTTTATTTAGCCATAAACTAATAGTAAATAAAGAGCGCCCTTACATATAATTAATAAATTTAATAGAATTAAAATAAAAAAATAATTAATTTAAACTGTATTTTTCTGCGTGAGAGTGTTATCCTCGTACGTTTCGAGTACATCAGCAAGATGCTCATTATCACGTGGTTTTTTGAATACTTTTTTACGTTGCCCAACGCGTTTGCGTTTCGGTGCAAGCGGTTTCTTGAGACCGTGATCTTGCATGGAACGAATACCTTGCTTTTCGAGGTATTCATCGATTTTGGCGTCATCCATCGCGTCTACTGCTACCGAACGCCACAGTTTTTGGAATTCTTCGTCGATTGGCAGGCTTGCTGTACGATCATTATAAAATAAAACTTTTTTCTTGTCGACTGGACGTGTTATAAAGATGATTTCGTTTTGATTTTGCAATATCTATAATAGGATCAAATTTTATGTAGTTATACATCATTTTCAACATAACTAATTATTACCTTAAGAGCTTTTTCACAATGTGGCAAAGATTCTTGTACATCATCTAATAGTATACCACCCAACCCCTTTAAATCTTGTTGTTTGAGTAGTTTAAGAAGAGTTTTTCTGTCTTTCAGTCTGTACATTGCTTTAAAAAGATATCTGCCATCTGGTGTGACCTCAATTTTGGGATTGTCTTGAAGTGCTTCTGTATTCAACCACTAAAATAATATGCAATATATCCATTTGTTGTTCTATATAGATAAAGGAAGAAGTGATTACATGTTTAACTTTAGCTCCCACATCTAATTGATTGGTCTCATCCAAGATATCCTCGATACTAAGTGGATGCATATCACCATCTTGATGTCTTTGCCTCATATACTTAACAATTTTAGCCAACACAGCAAAGGGGTACTGTGAGCTACCACTTGATGTTTTATATCTACAAAATCATTCATTATAAATTTGTTAAATTGTTGTTTAAAAAATAATACGTATTGATATCCAATTTTGGTGCAGCTGATGCAGGTCTAGAACTTTTCTTTTTATCATTTCTGGGTGGTTCTGCTTTGGGCTCGACTTTTTTCTTCTCAACACTAAAATATTTATTATTTTTATGTACATCTGTAGTATTAAAATAAAAGTAATAATGTAGGCTATTAACCTGGGTGTTGCAATTGCTCGTTTTTTGAACAATTCGCGTTCTCTTAATAGCGCTGGATCCATTTTGATATTAATGACAAGGGAATTAACTACTTAAAATATAAATAAATACTATACACCAACTGCGAAATGTGTTAGAAACCCAGAAAAATGCAGTTTGATTCAAGTTCGTAAAACAAGTTAACCTAACTAAAACTCTGGGTTAAAAAAACAAAAACAAGAGACCAACAGATGTCAGGTTTCAAACATGTTATATATTATGTGCAAAATGTGATTATATATAATTATAAACAAATGAATGCTATAACAAATATTTAAATACATGTAAAACCACTGTTTTCTTTCATGTAAACTCTGCACATTTAGATTATTATTTATTAATGTCCATTATAAATATAGAAAATTACATCATAATAATGTGTAAATCAAATACGACTGTAGTTCTACTTTTAAATAGTGTAAATAAAAAAATCACTACATTTCAATTAAATAAATTCCTTCACATGTGTACATTTATGTACCTCCAAGCATAAAATGTACATTTAGATTTAGGTTAAAGTTTCTCCCTTTGTTACCTAAAACAAAAGATAACAAAAGTAAAAATAAGCTTGTTTTGTTTTAGAAAACTTACACATGCTTCCAGATAGTCAATCTTCCTTTCTAGTGTTGTCAACTTCTCATTCAACACTGCCAGCTTAGATCGACATGATAAATCTGTTTCAAAATAAAATAAAAGTAGAGTTGTTATAAACTTTGGTTTAGAAAACTCAATTATAAATGATGATACCTACCAAATGAGTTGAGGAAATCAGTAATTTTCTTTATGCTCACTGTGATGACTTCAATGTACTCCCTGTTAGCCCAATCTTGCTGAATTTGCTTCTGATTACAATCTCTTGGATCTCTTGAATCTCTGGATTCTCTGGGATCTCTCATTTGCCCAGACATTATGAAATTTTGTTAGAAACAAACAAATATATACTTAATGTGCAATATTGTACGTAGCGATAAAACGAATTGAATCAAGAACTGCTCCCTGAACTGCTGTCTGAAGCTGAAGGCAAAACAATGTAGGCGAGTTCGATCATCAGAGGTTTGGTGAAGTGTAGTCAACCCAATTTACACACAAAACAAAACAAACCGTAAAATAAACTAGGATCAGGAAAGGAAAAGTACAAATAAACAAATATTGACTAAAAGACGTTATGATACTTGAGTAAAAGTTAAATTTATCTAATCTGTAGATAAATACAATTCACACGGAAAAGAAAACAAAGGAACGTTTTAAGAATTCATGCAGTTATCAACTTTTGCTCGCGTTTCTTTTTCGCGATGACCTAATGCATGTAATCGAATAAATTTTCTCGAATTATTTATTTCTTTGCATTTTCTGTTGTAAAATAATACTATTAATTTTTTTTTTATTTGTGAAGACATCATATTTTGTCTTTCTTGAAATATCTCGAAGATTATGGAGTCAGTAGTTTTAGAAAAACTAACTGGCCCATTTGAAAAATCTTTCGAACAAAATTGTCATTTGAACTAATTTTTACATAAAAAAAACGGATATATAATATTTTCCCACCAAATTCCATATTACCGAGATTTTATGTAAGTCATTACCAAATAAAAAAGTAACTACAGTTTGCCTAAAAGATTACAAAGGTAACATTACAAAAAAACACAAAACGGGTAGTACACTTACTTAGAAATATGATGTAAAGTACGTTTAAACAATTTTAGCATAGATAATTGTCTTCATTTATGCCATACATGTTACACTGGTAAACATTACAAGTTGCGTGTATATTAAACACAAATATCTACATCGTTTTATCGTTGAGAGGTTTGGCTTGGTGCCATTTTCCAGCCTCAGCAGGCCCCTAAATTTGAAAGTGTTGTCAAAGCTGTAAACCTACAAACACAAACACATAATAAAGTTATTCTGCATATTGATATGTTCTTGTGAAATATTGATTGAGGCATTAATCACGCCATTCATCATTCCCACGATTGAGGAATAGTGAAGTGATGACCTTATTTGATAATACTCTCTACACTGCTCTCACACCTTTTTCGGTAAACACCATAATAATGTGTAAGTATATCTTGAGTGATGCATATAACCGATTTGTCTCCTGGCAATAAGAACCATTTATATTTTCTCAAGTTGCGCAACACCGTCTGGGTGCAAAGACAAAAACGAAAAAATCAAAGATAAACACAAACAGAAGTTGAAATATGATCAACGACCTAAGATAAGAACATTTATCGTGACAATAGCATCGCTTGCTCTAGCTTACAAATAAGGTTATGAGGCTGTTACCAAAATGGAGTACACTAGTGTTAGATTTAAATTAAAGAGAACAAATAAAAATAGCAACAAATAGAAAAATATTTTAAATGATATTGTTTGAAATTGTTTAACCATTTGAAAAGAACGCTATTCATATAATTGTGTAAGAATTAGATTTGTGGATTAATCTGATACATTAATCCTCTGATTTTTCAATTTCCTAATAATTCTAGATAATTCGAATGAAGCGTCTCATCTTGTCGATGCAAAGTGGGTCAGGTAAACACAAGATTGCGCCACGATTTTTACAAATTTTCAATAGTTTCGTGTGCCCATTCTTCCTGTTATCTATTGTAATATTTAAAGATGAAAAACAGCACTCCACTGTCAACTTCAGCAAACGCCTCTGTGTGTTTATAGCGTGCACCTTTCGATTAAGCGACGTTATTAATCGCCGAGTCGTCATCGCGTTAGCACGATGTTATCTAAGGTAAGATTCAATAAGAAGCAATATAAAGAAGTAAAGTAAATAATAGATATTTGAATTATGGCTATATTTAGGGGTTGTTAGTGCTCTTAGTAGCCTACTTAACAGTGGCTACAACGCATGCAAAATCCGATCGTTGTAATTTTGACGATTCTTCATCTACACACAACGATTTAGAGAAGGAATGCAGTTCATCGGAGTATAGCTTCTATGTGGATTGTGTTCGAAAGAGATCCAAGCGCTATGCTGATTGTTACGGCGCTCAAGAGTCTTGCGATGAGGGTGAGAATTGCGGTGCATCGGAACAATGCGGACAATGTGATTGCAATTATTGCAGTTACAATGAGTGCGATTCTAACTGCAGTTCGTGCTGCAGTGGATATGCAGCACCATGCAGCACTCGAACGTGTTGTCATGCCACGTGCCAATCCACATGTCGCACATCAAGCTGTCGTCGTGGATGCCGATCACGCTGCCATAAATCTATTGAGCAATCCGCAAGCAAGACCAGTAGCAGTATTACTAACGCAGGCAGTAATACGGTTTCCTCTGATCAAAAATCAAGTGCTACGAACCAAGGAAAACATAATATCACCACCGTCATCAATCTGAAGACTGTTGTCAATAATACCAACATTGTTGACATGCCCATTCGGTTCAACAATACCAACTTAAACAATATTACATTGGAGTCCCCGAAACCAGGAGAGATCAATGTTAATATGCAGTCACAACCGCCGCAGAATATTATCCAATACCCTGAACAACCCCAACAACCCCCTCAACAACCTCAACAACCAATAATACAGTACCAACCACCATATCAGCCTCAACAGTGTTGCAACGTCATATCACCGCGTCAGTGTGTACCTATACAAGAACCACCCTATCAGAATTGCTACCATACGAAGAGTAAAGTTTGTGGTGAGGTGTGTACCGCATCGACTATGCATGCCGAACCACATCGTGTGTGCGATCAACAGATAGACACACATAAGTACCAGGAAGCATCTAATTGTCATGAACAAGTTGCCTACATTCCACAACCGCAACCACGTTGTTTCTCCACTTCGCAATGGCCCTATGTCAACTGTATGGTAGCGAAACCAAGTTGCGGCGGATGTTACACCCATTTGATTCATGGCGGGTCCGCACCAAGTAACTGCCCGAATTCATGTTATGACAACGGAATTAATGTGGGTCCATCCGGGTCGTTATATGGACAGGGACCACTGTATCAACAACCGATTCCACAACAATATGGTGGATACCCGCATTATTCTGTGTATCCAACTCAGCCCGGCCAAGGAGGACAGGGTGGGGTATTTGATGCATGGGGGTTGCAATCCATTGGGCCGTGGTTCAACGAAGGAGGGCAAAATGTTTCGCTACAACAGTACCATGCAAATTCAGGTCAAGCAGCGCCATACAAACAAAAACGTCATTTAGAAGACGGTAAAGAAACTTCCAGCGAAGACGACTCGTTAGAGTACAAAGTGGAAGAGTACCCTATCAAAATGGATTAGATATAGGATTGGCACAAAACAATTTATATTCGTTTTGCATCACTAATCTTTTCTAGAATAATTACAACGCTACTTTATTAATGTATAAAAAGTAGAAATATTTATAGATTTATCATTTTTTATATTCAACATTTGTGTATTGCATATAAGTTTTGCAGGATTTTTTTATATTTTCTGGGAAATAAAAGTAAAATAAAAGGTTTAATCGCATTTATGGATCAACAATCTACTTTGGCTTATAGGAAAATAATTAAATAATATATATTAGCTATTAGTTATATACTAAGAACTTTGTTGTTTCGTGAATATTTTTAAAATTCATGAAATACTTATTTTGCTATCTATGCCCGCTTCGGCTTTATGCAGTTACTGTATAGTTGCGGTCTTAGGAAATGTAACACTTATCACAAAGTTCAAACCAGTTGTATTATCCACAATTCCTTATATTAAAGCCTTTGATGTATCGAATTTGATTAACTCATTAATGTGCAAAAAAGCGGAAATGTTTCATTTTACCATTATGATAATTACCTCTACGTTTTTTCGTTTTGAGCATGACGCCAAATATTATTAAAAGAACAGACCTTGCGATTACTATGAGTATTTTCTCTCCTGATGCTACCTGCCCAAATCTCAAGTCTCAGTGTGTGGTATTTTCATATTGATACGTAGGTTAGCTGTCAGGGCCAGGTCGGAAGCACGAATGCCGCTGAGAGCTGCCACACGTCATCAGGACAGCTCCCTAGAGATCCTAGCACCCTAGGATCTCTAGTTAAGCATCCTTAGCGCGGTCAAGTCGGCGGTGCTCGTAGCCCCAATCGCCGCTAGAGGGCGCCGGAGCCAAAGGTGGCTTCATTCCCCCCTCTCGAAGCGAGGTCCGTTCGCAGAACCTCTCCAACTGATATTGCATGGGTCCTAGGGACCGAAGAACTACGTAGGGGCCACTACTCGTAGCCGAGAACTTATGGCGCGTGGGGTGGTGCCAGGAAACACGTCGCTTCACAAACATGTACAGCCAGAAGAGGTCGAGCGGGTTCTTCGAGGCCGTCGGACACGTTGTGATCGGCGTGCGGCGCACCTCCACAAAGGCGAGCAGCTTGTCTAGTCTTCTTCGACGAACCGTGTTGTCGTCCATTTCATAGAACTTGCCGAAACTAGCCGTTTTCTTCGAACGATAGGTTTCCTGATGCGGCCGATGAGTATTAAATACTGGACTTGCAGGGGTGCGTGGCCAGCTGGGACTGCCGATCTCGTGTTCTTCGTGCACCGAGTTCATGCTCGCAACACCTGGAGAAGACACGGTACTCTGAGGCGTCGTGGGATGGTTGTAGTGGCCCATGTCGTTCTTGCGAGACTTGGGCGTCGTGCACTGCGGATCCTCGCCGGACGCCACAGAAGCACTGGGGAGGGTCGACTGCTGTGAGCCCTCATTAATCGGCGTGCCATCGGGGCCAGTGGTGACAACATTGAGGGGTGGAGACGTGGACCTCTTAGCGGGGCCCGCGATGTCCTGGGCGCGGACGGCTTCGGCATCTGACTGGGAGTGCCGGAAGGGCCTGCGGGCGACGGGTACGGTACCCGGCTCGAGGCGGATATGGTGAGCCACATCGGGGATGCGGCCGACGTCGACGTCGTGGGTTTGTTGTAGTCGGCCAGGGGTCCGTCGGTGGACCGTGAGCTGGCGAGAGTGGCCAGGGGCCCGTCGATGGACCGTGAGCTGGCGAGGGTGGCCAGGGGCCCGTCGATGGACCGTGAGCTGGCGAGAGTGGCCAGGGGCCCGTCGATGGACCGTGAGCTGGCGAGAATCGACATCGACAGGGTGGCTGTCGTTATCCATCATCTCATGTGGCGGCGGGCCAGCGGTGAGCGGATGATGCGGGTTGGGCGTAGAGGTAGGCGGTGGCATCGGCCCATCGTCATGCGGATGGTTACTTTGTGAAAGGGTCGCCGGCGGCATGTTAGGCGGTCCCATACTGGGCGGCGGACCCATGCCGCTGAGGTGGTGGCCGACCGGTGGTGGGTCCATGTTATAATTGGTCGGCGGGCCAGGGCTGAGCGGCATCGACGACGGCGACGTGCCGCCAAAGCCCATCTTGTTGTTGTAACACGACTCGCGTGTCTCTGCGAGCTTTAGGACGCGGCGTTGAGCCTGCACCAACGGGACGGGCACTGGACGGCCAAACCGCGCGATTAGCTGGCGTCGGACCTCCGCCCATGTGATGGAGCCCATTCGTGGAGCTACGTCCATTGCGTACCAGTACAGCGCGGCTTGCACGAGGTAGCTCATGAGCATGACCACCTTCTCTTGATCTGTTTGGCTGTGACTAATCATTTCAAAGAGATTCAGCCACAACTCGGCTTGAATGACGGTCTTGTGTCCCGAGTATTTCTCGAGATCGGGAGTGGCCATCTTGGGACACGTGCTTCCTGAATCTTGGATTAATTTGGTATCTTCATAGATCTTGGGTATCCTACCGACTGCGCCAAATTGATACGTAGGTTAGCTGTCAGGGCCAGGTCGGAAGCACGAATGCCGCTGAGAGCTGCCACACGTCATCAGGACAGCTCCCTAGAGATCCTAGCACCCTAGGATCTCTAGTTAAGCATCCTTAGCGCGGTCAAGTCGGCGGTGCTCGTAGCCCCAATCGCCGCTAGAGGGCGCCGGAGCCAAAGGTGGCTTCAATATCAATCACTAACAATAAATTTCACCAAGATATTTCTCTAAACCTGTGCAATCGGTCAACTTCAATTTCAACCATACCATAGACAACATTGCGTACAACATTTTAGCGCCATCATTGATTAAATCATTAAACTATAACTATTATTGAATCTTTAATCTATTTTCATTCCTTAATTTAACATTTATGGAATAAGTATTTCTAATATTTAATATTTCTTATTCTATTCTGATAAAGATAAATTCAAAACTACAAAAATCATAAAAGTTGGTCCAGTCGTTCTTGAGTTATAAATAGTGAAACTTAAACGATTTTCTTTTATATATGTTACGGTTGAATGTGAGAAAACGGTGGTACACATGTGTATAACCCATAGGGCCTCGGAAAATGTAGGTGGTCCATGCACCCATTTACCACTAAATCAGCCTTGAGTTTAAACTCGCTGATCAAAATTTTAAAGATCGCTAATCTCAATACAGTGGAATCCCGGTAATCCGACAATCACTTTGCAGGGCAGTGTCGGATGAGTGAATTTGTCGGATTATAGAAAACTGCCTAAGACTTACAGACTTACAGTCCGGAATTTTTTTCAAAAGAGTACCTTGTAATCCGACAAATTACAAATCCTAAAGTACAAACATATGGCATATGATCATGTCGGATTACAAGGTGTGTCGGATTAAGCAGTGTGCCTTTACCGGGATTCCACTGTACTTGAAAATATTGAAATTCCTAAGTATAGGAAAGTTCGGCTAGAGGATACTGCCCGAATGCATTTATATGAAATTTCAAATTACGCTCGAATGACTGCACCAAATTTGATAATTCTGTCTTTCAAATGTTTCTCACAATCAGGACAACGCCTTATTAAAAGAAAATTTTTAAAAAATCAATTGCAGTTGTAAATGCTGATTACGAAATGATTACGATCAGCCAGCAGCTGGTAACTTCAATACATACGATTAGCGCCTCTTCCGCTAGAGTAAAACGTTGTTTAGTCTGTTTAGACTACTGCTCTTTAGGAGATTGCCGTGGTGTAATTAGAAGTTATCACTATGTTCAAATGAAACATTTCCGCTTTTTACACATTAACGGGTTAATTAAATAATTGGGAGGGGAATGTGCACATTTGCTTGTATGTTGTACGATGAACAAGGCGCAGTATTGCTATTAACTATCGACAGTTAAATTTATAGAAGTGCATTTGTTTTTTTTTTCTGGACAGGGATGTGGATACTTCTTTTTCTTGTTTTATTTTATTTTATTTATATTACGCGTGTTGCGCAGAGTGAATTTTAATAAGAATAGAGAGTTTATTATTTAAACGCTAATAACAATCCAGTGTTGCTTGATATTACATAGAACAGAACTACCCTTGACAAAGTAACGAACTTAACTAACTGTCTACTAAAGCACATGGTGGCTGGCAAGCCACTCAGCCACTTGGGGTGGGTTGCGCCACGCAACTTGAGAAAGAGCGCAAATATGCTACAGATATTTACTTAATATCTATAACATAAAAATGAATCGCAAAAAATGTTGGTAACCGCTTTACTCAACAACGCCTAGACCAATTTGGCCAATTCTTTTTTTAAAGTGTTCGTTTAAGTCAAAAGATGGTTTTGACGGCAAGAAAAATTTGAATAATTGCCGGGTAAACGAGGAAAAGCGAAGTATTCTTTTTTCAACTGATAAACGAAACAAATTCCGTAGCCTTCTTCGATTTATTTTTGATTCATTGTTTTATATCGTGTTTTGCGTAAAGTGTTTTCTACTGAGTTTTCTTTCGTCAACTGATAAACGAAACAAATTCCGCAGCTTTCTTCGATTCATTTTTGTTTGATTGTTTCATTTCGTGTTTTGTGCAAAGTGTTTAATTATCTATGATCGCTAATAGAGCGAGAGCCAGTGACGGCCAGACTTTCGTCATTTTAGGAAAGATGAAATTTTGTCCATGTGTTTCTCCAACACAGGTAAGAACGATCCCCAATTATGAAACCTGGATCGTGGTTCCTTTGGCAGTTAACAGCTAACAAAGATGTAAACTTGATGACCTATGTTTCGTTATTTTAGCAAACTCCATTTTTGCATATTTTGTTCGTTATTATAACATGCGCTGCTCATTGCCAGTCACCTGGTATGGTTCCAACCGTAGCCAGACACCCCTAAAGTATATTATATTTTAACTTTGTTACTTTCGTTATATTAGGAAAGCTGAATTTGATACACATTATACAGAGAGCTATGAAACTGTGTTTTCTTTCGTGCCAGACAGTTTGGTCGGTTCTATCATCTTGCCAGACGCATTGAAAGTGTATAAAAGTTGCAAAAGTTAAATTTGCTTCATCAAACGGTTCAATAAAGAAATTGAAGATAATAAAAATTAGTCCGGAATATACTGGATTATAACTTATAATAATAAATAATTTATTAGTCATACAACACAACCAACGTTTTTTATATTTATACTAGCTGACCTGGCAAACTTCGTACCGCCTTATTTATTTTTTTTATTTATTTAAACTTTATTACACAAAAAAATAATATTGTACAAAAGGCGGACTTAATGCCGTAAGGCATTCTCTGCCAGTCACATCGTTAGCGACCCGCCCCGGCTTCGCACGGAAGTAAAAAAACCGCATCAAAATCCGTTGCGTAGTTACAATGATTTAAGCATACAAAGGGACAGACAGAGAAAGGCGACTTTCCTTTTCCAAACAAAAACATCAACCGGTCAACTTCAACCCACACACACATACACACGTCTATGCTTGGGGGGGGAAGACTTTATCTAAAACCTTTGTCAAAAACTTTAATAACCTTATTGTTTGCGCGGCGGGTATGTCACAAATTACAACAGATTACTAAATAAGTCACAATTAAAGTTTCGTTCCAACACTGATTTGGATTGCGGTTTCCTTTAAAAATGTAACGTTTCACGCACGTCTATGCCTAGGGGGAAGCTACGAATTGCACAGAGGGGAGACGGAGATAAAAAACATTATATTTGTGTGCTCTTTTTTTCCCGTAGGCTAAACCATATAAGCGAATATGTTTGTTTCCTTTTAGTGTCGTTTAGTGTTCTCTAAAGGAGTTTTTACTTCAGAAAGTATCCTAGTAACCTTCTCCAAACAAAAACATCAACCGATCAACTTCAACCCACACGTACACACATACACACGTCTATGCGTGTGACGGGGATAATAGAAAACTTTGTATTTACGATATCACAAATAATTAGCAATAAATTAAAATTGCGACTATAATTTGAGATTTAAACTATCCTATCTTTCAAGTTGGATCAACTGCACATGGTGTGCGAATTTTATTATAATCGGTTAAGTGGTTTAGGAGTCCATTGAGGACAAACATTGTGACACGAGATTTATATATATTACTAGTTAACCGGGCAAACGTTGTTTTGCCATATAAATTATTTCAAGTTTCTAGATAAATTTTAGTGTAGACAAAAAGTAACTTACTTATTATAAAAAATAGGGGTTGGTGATAAGAAACCAAAAATTGTATATTTTAATAAAATTAATTAAAACACATTAAAAAAATAAAAACAAAAAATTTCGACCAAAATTTAAAAAAAATTAAGGGTGAACAACCCTTATCACTTAGAGATATGAAGTTACTGAATACGCATATAAAAATTTTCTTTGAGCGGGATGAAAAATGATTAAATTACTAAAATTACTAAAATGGCTATAAAGCCGTTTCGGAGGAGTATGGAAACAAACACTGTGACACGCAAATTAACAAGTCGCAGTATTGCTATTAACTATCGACAATACTCTTTAAATTTAAGTGCATTTGTTTTTTTTCTTGGCTGGGATGTGGAAACTTCTTTTTCTTGTTTTATTTTATTTTATTTTTGTTATAAATCTTCTTCTATACTATAAAAATGAATCGCAAAAAGTGTTGGTAACCGCTTTTCTCAGCAACGCCTGAACCAATTTGGCCAATTCTTTTTTTTAAATGTTCGTTAAAGTCAAAGGGTGGTTTTGACGGCGAGAAAAATTCAAATAATTGCCGGGAAAATGGGGAAAAACACGTGTGTTATCATATGCATTTGGCAAAACACCTGCCAGGGGACAGCTGCAATTATATTTTATATGCTTTGTTCTCTAAGTTCACTCCAGACTGCAGCTGCATCATTCTTGCAACGTTAGCAGGAATATCCCCAAGACCTTCATTTGCTTCAGCTTTGTACTCGTAATTCATTCGCTCTTGAGATTTTGTGCAAGTTACACGGTAAATAAATCGTAAAATCAGCAAGAGTTTTGTTCACTGCATACCTCATCCATTTAAATATAGATATAAATCTAGAGAACCCATGTTTTTCACAGGGTCAATTGTTGTTTGTTGTTTGTTTATGCGCCAGGTAATCAAACAAAAAACATCGTATATCACAAAGCACTACAATGAAATTAAAACTGATATTTGTAATTATTTGAGCCGAGTAAAAAATAGGTAGGAACAAAAAAACTGCCACATTCTAAATCTGACAGAACGAAGTCTGTCGGGTCCGCTAGTATATAAACTCAAATAAACTTTTCTAGATGTAATTGTACCTGTATCAGCACTTCCCTAATTTCTTTTCCTTAATGCCGCAATTTTTAGTACCTTCAAGCAACATTCCCCAAAATAATACGGATAAGGTACACATTCCCCGGTAAATGTACGTATAAACTTTGGTTAAACAATGTACGTTTTATACGCATTTACCGTAACATTTACTTTAGCTCGCCCACCCAATTTGCTACAGCTTTTTATTTCGTAAATACTCCTGAAAGACTTCTTTTACTATTGATGTCTGTTTAAGCTTCACACTGTTGGTTGTACAGAGGTGAATTTCACCTCGATTAATAATCGTTTTATCACAAATTAGCTGCCTGCTTCATCAAACGGTTCAATAAAGAAATTGAAGATAATAAAAATTAGTCCGGAATATACTGGATTATAAGTCGCACAACACAACCGACGCTTTTTATATAATATTTACCTATAATATAGGTGTAAAGTAAAGGTTTCACGGTTGAGGTTATGTTCTGGAAACACTGGTCTTAATATTCATTTATTTAAAACGTAGAATTCTTCACATTACGACACAAATTAGTCGTATTGCAATCATACTTTCACATCTGATATGTTGTGACAACATAAATTTTTAAATTTATTTTAGTGTAATGTTATTTTTAATTATGTGATTATAATTTCCCATTCAATGTCCTCCATACTCCACGCTCGAGCTCCCATTTGACGAAGTAATCAGTCATTTCTGACACGGCCTTCACCAAACTAATCTAATAACTTGTTATCAACGAGAAGATTTGGTAGTCATGTTTTGGACGTTTTGAAGACCGTTAGAGATAAATAAAAAAACTAGCGCACACGCTTTGCGACGCATCAAACAAAATTAAGTCTTATGTCATAAAAAGAACTGCAAATTTTAGGCTTGAGCGATAACCTTTCGCACATTACATTTACAGATATTGTATGTATGTATGTATATTGACGTTCTGAACCGTCCATATAAAAAGAAGCGGCCGTTGTGCATTTTGTAGAAAGTGATCAAATTGCAAAAATGAAGCACATTGTAATTGCATTGGCGTGCATCGTCGTCGCCATTTCTGCGCGGCCATCGCCTAACTTGTTGTGTGGTACACAAAATCAAATAGTGTGTTCTATGATGCCATCCGCTCAATCAGTTCCAGTTATGCCGTTATCAACAAATATTCGACAGACCTTCGACTTAGGTAATAATTTTTAATGATTGTATAAATTTAAGTTAAAATAATAACATTATATTTCTAAACACAGCTCCTACACATCTGCCATTACAATCTGCGCCTGTTGCTGCTCCGAGCCAAGATGCTTCCTTCCTGGTGCAGTATCAGATGCCAACGCCGTCTTCAAATCAACAAGTTGCACCTGCAACCAGCTTTTCAAATCAATTCAATCCAAATGGTTTAGTTCCACTTAATAGCGGTGGCTCTAGTTGGCCAGTTCAAAGTAATAATGTGGCACTGCCATATACCGGCGTCTCTAGTTTACCAGTTCAAAGTAATATTGGTGCACTGCCATTCAACGGCGTCTCTAGCTTGCCAGTTCAAAGTAATAATTTTGCACTGCCATATACCGGCGTCTCTAGTTTGCCAGTTCAAAGTAATAATTTTGTGCAGCCATTCAGTATGCCAACCCAGGGTCATGCTTTACTAACTCCAATGCAGACCGGCAGTATACCTACGCAAAATGGCGGGATGTTCATGAACTCGTATCCACAACAACTCAGGCCTGCATCAACCAGAACCTACCAAACTTACTAAATATTTACTTTATTTGTTACTTTTTTAAATGCCGTTTATTAATAAATGTACCATCATCAAATTCCATGACCCATATGACCAATCTCCACATTAAACCTCCAGATCGCAAATGATGCTATGTTAGCCGTTGGTCTTGCCAAATAAATAAGATTGTAATAAATTGCGTAATGATAGGTCACGGCACCGGAATTGATAAAAAATTACAATAAATACCAGGGGACAAATGGCAAAAAAAACTAGTTCAATCATGAGAACATCCGCTATCGTACTGTTAGCTACAAGCTTCATGCTTGTGGCTTGCCTCGCTGAATTTACCTATGGAGACTGCGGCAGCGACTGCTCTAGCGATTGCGAAAATTGCGTCACCTCCAACTGCGGAGACTGCTCCAATAACTGTGGATGCACTACACGTGTATGCCACCAATCTTGCGCCGTCCGTTGTCAGCAGTGTTCCAGCACCTGCAGTTCATCATGCAGGGGAAGGGTGCCCGACTCAGCACCCGAAACAATGAAGCAGAGACAGGAACAGCATGATTTGGCTTCTGAAAGATCATCAAACACTGATTTGAAGAATGATGCCAACTCCAACGTTACATCCATCTTTGATATTACATCAAGTGTAAGCAATAACAACACCATTCATATGCCTGTGGAGTACACTTTCAACCATCACACGAATGTGACTGTAGTTCCTGCGCCGGCTCCAAATATCCACATCAATGTTACTACTGGCGGTGGTTCGAGCGAGCCCAGAGTGATCACTTTACCTTCTGCAGTTTCCGCACCGAATATCATTCCACACAATCCAAATGGTTCGGTTGTCAATATAAATCACACCACAGTTACAACTTCGGCTGGCCAACCATGCTGCAACATTACACCCAGCAATTGTCAAAACCCTAAATCCTGTTCGGAGACGGTATGCGGGCCAAGATGCAATCAGCAGCCCTACCCTGGTTTCGTTCAACAACCATGGCAAGTTCCTGTACAGCAACCGGTGCAGTACCCAGTACCACAACCGATCCAAGTCCCTGTACCGCAACCAATCCATGTTCCTGTACCACAACCCTACCCTCAACCTTATCCAGTCATTCAGAGAGTAGCGGTCCCTCAACCATACCCAGTCGTCCAAAGAGTACCAGTCCCACAACCTTACCCCGTTGAAAGACAAGTCCCAGTGCCGCAACCGTATCCAGTTGTGCAAAGAGTGGCAGTACCTCAGCCCTACCCTGTTGAAAGACAAGTAGCAGTGCCACAACCCTATCCAGTGGTTCAGAATGTACCTGTTCCCCAACCATACCCGGTGGAGAGGCAAGTTCCTGTCCCCCAACCCTACCCTGTTGTACAAAGAATACCAGTACCTATCCCTCAGCCTTACCCTGTTGAGCGTCCAGTGCCAGTAGTTCTTCCACAACCACCTCCAGTATACACACAACCTGCGCCAGTATATACTCAACCGTCATGTTTGCTCAACACGCTACAAGGCGGCCAGTACTCGGCATGTGCGCAAACTCTCGAGAACCGACAATTGTTTGGTCAAAGCTCAGCTGTGGCATTAGATCAATGGAGTCAAAGCGCCAGACGCGCTGATGGATGTATCACGCTAAATCAGTATCCGTGGACTCAATGTAATCTCCAGCAAACAGGGGTAGTAGGATTTGGAGGCCTACCAAGCGGTAGAATCCTACCAGGTGTGTAAAAACAATCTTTAAGGTGTGTTCAAGTAGGTATACATTTGATAGCATATTATAAATTCACAATAAATTTTTACTTGCAGAACAACGCCTCGCAGAAGAATACGGACGCAAACTAAATTGCAAATTAAGGCAGAATGCATTGAGGTGTACATAATAACTAAAAATTTTGTTTACCATATTTCGGAAACCGAAACTTTCTCAATAAAAAAGTCTTGAAAACCTTTAACGACGCCTTTCGCTTGATACCATTCGACGTTTCTCGATTGTATTGATTGAATCGCACGCGGCACAGTAGTCTTACTTGTATCACCGTAAACTCGTAAATTTTCGCAGCATGTGTCATGCTTCTTGTCGTAGTTCAACGTGATCACCGTATTGCAGACGTTTGTCGGCACCACGAAGTTTTTATAATGCTCAAAGTAATCATCTTCATGTCTGAGGACACCAACTTTTTTCACCATAATAAAAGTGTTGGTTACTTGGATTTGATGACGCATTGCACTCAGCCATTGGTCTGATAGAAAGACATTTCTGTACAAAATCAACAAAATAAATAAATACATTCTAATATTTTTCAAAAAATAGTCAAATAATACCTCAAAACCTTATGCAACTTCTTTTGCAGCATATTTTTATGATTGCTTTCAATATGACCCTTAGCAAGATCTGGAAATTTGATGGTGAAGACCTCTTTGGGTGTGTAGGGTGTTGATCCAAAAAGAATGACTACCTCTTGCACTTTTTGACAACTACTCATCAATGAACTTAGATTCGTCGTAATATCTTCCACGCTTCTGAATGCATTCGACGCCAAATTGAAATACTTCTGCACTATGATTGATATACTGTGTGAATGTATGTTTGGCTCAGGTTTTCTTTTACTCAAGGCATTCTTCAGCCATGAATATGGATATGGAAGTTGCGATTTTTCGTAGAGCACCGCTTTGAGAATTTCGATGATTACAGAAACGCATGTCTGCGGCGTAAGAATCATGTCTTTCATATCAACGTTGATATTTCTCGTCTTAGGATTGACCACATTATTATCACCAAAACAATTTAATGCTTCCATTTTATTTTAATTCTTAATTTATTGTAATTAATTAGCACACACTAATTTATGGCTTTTTGTTAACTGGGAAATTTTAACATTTTTTATAGAGTATTCTATTTAAAAAATTAGACAATCAAACGTAAAACTTCATTTGTAATTTTGTTTCATATCACACTACACTAAACTTTTTTGGTTAAGAAATAACGGTCTTGACATTTGAAATTAGCTATCTTGTTGCGGTGTTGTTGCGCGTGCGCAACAAAATATACCAAGCGTTTATAAACGAACAGTAGTTATAATATGTAATCCATTGTTATATTTATTTAAAATTGTACGTGGAAGTTATTGATGATGCCATCGAGGCGTAACAAGTATTCAATTGACGTCAAATTTTAAATAAATATATACATATTTAAAAACCGCGTACGCTTGCAATAACATTATCTTCATGAATACCTACATCTTTATATTCCAGAAACTGCATGCTGAACACCCCGGTACCCGAAGTTAGTGTTCGAATTGTAGTAGAATAGCCAACCAATTCAGATAAAGGTGTTTCGGCGACAACCATTTTATTTTTACCTTTGACTGTTACATTTTGAATGGTGGCACGTTTCCGACTTAAGTCGGCCATTACAGCGGACAAGTGTTCTTCAGGCAGTATGACTTCCAGGTTCATTATTGGTTCCATTATTGCGGTCCCGGACTTTTCAAGCAACTATTAACAAAGTAATATTTATCATCAGTGTTTATAAGTGCAATAATATAGTCAGCACAAAAACTGCGCTTGTTTCATCGTTCTTTTCCCATAAAAGAGTTAAATGCAAAAACGATTCACACGTTTGTGGGGCTGACTTAATATTCGAATTCTAATCTAATTACTTAACTCTATTCAACTTAATACAATCAATCTCCTTTGATTTCGACCACGTTTTACAGTATTTAATCACTTCACCGACTTTCAGCAACACTTGACTTCAAATCTGCCGTGTTTACAACTTCTTTGTATTTTAAACCATACCAACAACAATAATTCTCATGCATACCACCTTTATTTGAAATATCACTGAATTCACACCATTCATTCAAACTACTTCCCACATGTAACAGAGTAAAAATGTCCTTTACCTTTCTAATGCACTGTGTGGTAGTAGCTGATATCACAGATTCAGTTGTCCCGCGTCCAATGGAAAAATGATGCAGAATCAATTGCACGCCTATAATTGGAGCGCCCACTTTAGCTCCATGCGCTAAACCAATCTCAACACCTTGCCGAATTGCATTCAAATGCTTCGGATATAAATTCGCTAAGTTACTAGCGGCATCCGGGGATTTATCAAACTTAAGTATATCTTTCACCTCGCCATTCGTAGGCACTAATGAAATGCTTATATTCACGGTTTGCTTACTGCTACCAATTTTGTTTCGTAAACAAAATCTTCGCGCACTGATGAAAGTGCTGCTTCCCGATAGGAAATTTGTAATGGACCTAAATCTGCGTCGATTTTATACTCTTTAAGTATGCGATCTTTGATTATTTCAAGATGGAGTTCACCCATTCCTTGGAAAACAAAATGATTTTGAAATACTCTCGGACCTTATATACAATCATTTACCCGCTAGCACAGTTTGTCCGGTATCCTCAGCGTGTGTCACCCTTATACTTGGATCCTCCCGCTGAAGTTCCAGCAGTGCTTGATCCAACGGTGCTTGAAACGTCAAACTCGGTGGTTCAATCGAACAGAAAAACACTGCATCGGGTACAGTCACTCTTGAAACTTTTAATAACTCATCAACACCTTGTTTTCCTCTAGCTTGTTGAGCGCTTCCCACGGAATTTGTGATGAAGTCGCCTGCAATTGTTTGCTGTATAAAAACTTCGAATTAAAATAAAGTAGCAACAAAGTAATAAAACACAAACCTTTAATCCAGTAACAACTGCAATATTTCCACAACCAACTGTTTCAACTTCATCAAAATCATTCGCATGTGCCATTAATAACTTAGTAGTCTGTTCAGACGAATTCTTATCCATGTTGAACAATTTCTGCCCTCTATTCAACACTCCGTTGTAAATACGTAGGAAAACAAGGGGACCTTTTTGTTTATCATGTAATACTTTAAATGCCCTTGCTGCTAAGTTATCTTTGAATGCGTCGAACTTCTTTGATTGTTTTTCTGGTGATGGAAGATAAAGAATTACAGAATCCATCAATGGTTGAACTCCTATGTTTTTATATGCGCTGCCGCACAAAACTGGAATTAATTTCTTCAAATATATTTAATTATTATAATATTTAAAACTAGTTACTACTTTCTAAATAGTAATTATATACCTGTGAAGTCATAGCTCGTGCAATGGCTGGAACAATATCACTAGTCTTGATATCATCAATAGTTTCTTTCTCAATAATAATATTTGCCAAACAATCATCATGTTCAGACACAATATCGATTAATTTCGAACGTGCAATATTTATTTCATTAAGAATTGCACCATCTTCATGAGTAATATTTGATTTTGTAAGTGAATTGTCCTTATCATCACTGTACATTATTTTTTCTTGGGTTAATACATCAATCACACCTAATAACTTTCCAGATTGTTTGTAGGGTATTTGTAGTGGTAAAGCTTGAATATCCAACTTTTCACTAATTGAATCACAGGACATTTTATAATTAGCATCTGCCCTGTCCATTTTATTTACAAATGCAATGCTGGGGATGTTGTACTTTTGCGCTTGTCTCCACACTGTTAATGTTTGTGCTTCAACTCCTAAATATAACATCTTATAATTAATATGTTGTTTCATTTGAAAATTAGATATTCATACCTGCTGAACCATCTAGAATTAATATAGCCCCATCCATTACATTTAATGCTTGCTCAACCTCCATAGTAAAATCAATATGCCCAGGTGTATCAATTAAATTAAAATGATGCTTTTTCCATGGGAATGTTACAGCAGCTGATTTTATAGTTATCCCTCGATTCCTTTCTTGTTCCATGTAGTCTGTGACTGTATTGCCATGATGAACTTCTCCCATTTGTTTGATTAATCCAGAGAAATATAACATCCTTTCTGTTGTTGTAGTTTTGCCTGGATATAACATATATTTTATAAATATTGTTTAGTTGCCACATTAATTTAATTTCAAACCTGCATCAATATGTGCCATAATACCAATGTTTCGAATGTTTCTCATATTTTCTTGCAGATATTTTCTTGTAGAATATTGCCTGTAACATTTGATGTTGCTTATTTTCCTCAATTTGAGGATTTGTATTCTAGAGAGAATCATTTTGTTTAATTAGTTAATCTAATATTATTCACTAGTCACAATCAGATGATACAAAAAAGTTAACACATCAAAAAGATAGGTTAATATCAAGAAAGCATGAGTAAACATGCAACATGAGATCCAAAGCTCTGCTCCCTCTCCTTCAAAGTGAAATAAATTAAATAAGTATAAATTTAACTCACGGGCGCCGCAAAGTCTACTTCAACATTCGTTTGTGCCAAAACTCATTTCCACACCACCATGAGGTAGAGTACGTGGCGCGTTTTTTATCGTGGTATCCCCAGCAGGCCTAATCTACACGCACTATTCCAAAATTTATTGGATTATCTTCCGATTCGCTCTTCGCGATGGACCAGGTGTTGTGCGTTAATTGTTTTCAGAACCGATCGAAATATCACAGGTAAAATTTTCTGCCATACTATCCGCGATGGGATTATCGTTTTCAATGCTATCTTGGTTCTCGAGTTCATCGTACGTGTGCTCAAAAACGGTAATCGTATTTAAATACAAATTACTAATTTACTTTTCTTGCCTTCTCTTGGGCAAAGATTTCAATAATTTTGTCGTACTCTAGTTTTTTAAAAATATCATTTTCTATAGACATTAATGCGAAGTCATTTAAGTGCTCTTGTGAAAGACTATTGCGCAGATAGTTTTTGGCTCGTTTTAAAACTGAAAATGTCCTTTCTCCACTTGCATTAGAAACGGGCAAGGTCAAAAAATTTGCAGTATTGTGTGTATATTTGGAAAAGTTAATTTTAGACCATTACTTAATGTTGCATACATTTCATGTGGATCTCTAATATTTTCTCATTTTAGAAAATGAGTTAACTCATCAGTGAAATAGTCTGGCTCAATATCTTTTTCATACTTAGACAATAATCGCTCTACACAATTATTAGTCTCAACACGGCTTAATTTTAAATCAAAGAAAATTTTAAAATCGTTAAGAACATTGATATAGACATCGCCCCTTCGAGTAATTTCTGATGTTAATACATCACATACAATATAAAAATGTTGACAATAAAATTTCTTGACAAAAATGCTGTATCATTTTTGTTCGTTTCATCATATGGATATTTGCGTTTTCTTTGTCTCATCTCTTTATAAGAATGATGAGCTGTTAGGATTTAGCCTCCTCTTTAACAGTTTCGAAATTATTTCTGACCTCTGTTATAAATTCGTTTAATGATTTTAATAAACTAACACTATTAAGAATAGTTGTCTTTGGTTCCTGTAAGTATTTGCTGGTAATTTCAATTCTCTGTAGGAGTTTGTTCCAGAAAATTGTTAACAGTGCCGTCTCAAATTGATCGAACTCTTTTGAACTCTGTTTTTTTAATCCAACTACCACCCCAAAAATCTAGATAAAAATTGTAGGAGGATAAACGTTGGTACAACGTGTTCCGCAGATGTGAAAAATGATAGAAAGACGAAATAATTAATATTCCAAAAAAGAGAGTTACCCGCTATTTTACAACCTCAATGGAATATTCCTCAACTCATCTCCTCCACAGATGTTCGAAATTTAAAAAAATTGGCAATATACTACTCGCATTATAGCTACAACTTTCTAATGCAATATTCAAGAAAAGGTCACAAAAATTCGTGGCAGAAAACATCCAAATTTTATTTTAAACAGTTTGTCATAAAGAAATAAAATCGGAGATAAAAAGTTTTAAGTCAGCTATATATCCGTGACGGTTGCTTTGCGGACACGTGTGAAATGCCGTTTTGGGCGCCAAGTGAAAACCAATACGCTATTCATAAAGGCTGAGGTCAAAACCAACTGATGAAGTATTTGTGGAATTACTATGTCTATATGGGACATATAAGTGCCAGGGGCCCCTCAGGCAGCCGGGGCCCTAGGCGCGCGCCTAGTGCGCCTAGGCCGTAATCCGCCACTGAGCTAACTCTCAAATAACAATCGATATGACTGCTTGAGTAAGGTTAACTTTGGTTAGGTTTTAAAAATTCTTCTGTGCATTGACTCCAAATCAAATTGACAATTGCAATTGAAACAATTTTCTGTTTATCTAATGATGAAATTTTGTCATTACACTGATCACACCAGTACTCAAAGATCTAATCGATATTAAAAATTAGTTCAATTAGTCACGTAAGCAGGTAAGCACTCAAAAATAATGCCATGTTTAAGATTACATTTGTCTGTACCGTGTTCGGTTCAGGACAAAAAAAAAGTATAAAAGGCAAATGCTAAGGTGAATGAAAGATCAGTTGTTTTGAAATAACCGAACAAAATGGCTAAATTTGTTGCCTTCGCCGCCATTTTGGTAGCACTTGCTGTTGCCAATGCTGTGCCAATAAAGCAGGAGTCTGCAGCTCAAAAAGCACGTTATGCTATGAGCAAAACTAGTAAGTATTTATTATTAGTTAATTATTTGCAAAAAAATTATTTACAGTTTATGTTTTCATTAGGCTGGGTATCCATTGCAACCATTTCGACGACTGAAGGCATTCAGGACTACCCGATGGTCAATGTGAAGAGTACCGCTGACGCAGGAACTGGCATCCCGTATTTGTTCTTCTCTGATCTGGATCTTTCTGTAATTGACATCAACTCTAATCCCAAAGCGTCCATCCTCGCCACATTGGCTGATGGTGACTGTGTCGAAGGCAGCTTGGACCCTCAAGATCCTCGTTGTCCTAGGTTGATTCTGACCGGAACAGTTGTTAAAGTCGAAGATAGTCAAGAAGAGAAGCTGGCGAGATCTGCTTTGTACGCTAATCATCCCGATATGGAAATGTGGGCAGGTGGTAAGTGAAAATATTTTACAATAAGTTACATATGATATATCGTCATTCATTTTTTTAAACTTTAGTTCATGATTTCTACATTTCCAAGATGAACATTGAGCGTGTCACCTATTTAGGTAACTTTGGTGGTGCCGATATTATCGATCCAAGTGAATATTTGGCAACTAAACTTTAAATATTCTGTTGTTATCGTTATTTTGATGTGATATTTGATTAAATACCTGTTATTATAAACACACTCATTGACACTTCTTTTTCTTTTTGTACCGTTTATTAAATGGAAATTAAATGGACGTGGCTACCAGATTTTTGCCATTATAGGTTTGGATGCTCAAAGATAAAAGGACCAAGTAAAATTTGTACTTTTTCCCTAGTTAATGGATACTTAGAATTATTGCTAAATCTATGTGATGACTTTTGAAGCAGAGCGACAATCATTTTATTTAATTGATTTTTTTATCTATAGTACCAGATTAACATCACAATGTACGACTTAAGTACATGTTTTCTTGGTTGCCTATAATAATCAACTACAACTTTTTGTTCTTCTCTATTGAAACTCCATGCTACAATCTAGTCTCTTTAATAAAGTTTCTAGTCCAGTGATAATCATTATTATATTCTATTATCTCTATCGTGTTTAACTAGATGTTTCATTAATTAATACCCATATGCGCGTGAGAAACGAAAGAACCGCAACTCTGCGCATCCACATTACCACACACGTGCGCGCTCGACACACATGCGTGCAGTCGCAGTCTGAGCTTCCCCTGCAATATGTAATCCCAAAAAGAAGTGAAGGCAGACGAGCTAACAATCCTGTTGGCCACGCAAGGAGTTTGTTCTGTTTAATTCTTGTGTTCGTGCAGTGACATGGTGTCGAAACTAGCTGAAACAAATGGGAATCGCGCGCTTCTCCTACCGCGGTTTGACAGCTAACGACTTAGGTCAATTCAGCATACACGACATACGCGACGTGCCATTGAAACACATCGGAATGTGATAAAACCCATGTGATTATTACTACGAACCACATTAAACTAAGCCAAAAACAGTGTGTAACTTATATTAACTCGTTTTACTTTCATTTGGTTCCTCACAACTGATATAGTTCTAAGTTTGGATGATCGATTGTGAGTGAATGCATTGTGTGTACTTTGACACCATGAGTGTGACCAGCAGTGTGACTCTCACCGTGTGATAGGCAGTCTCTGACCACAAGTACTACAGCTGCTGTGCGTTTTCGTTTCTTGCTGGAAACCAAAGCAATTGAGCAAGTGTCTCAAACGGAAATGCGCGTAGTGTGCTGAATGACGCGGCGCGGAATTCCAAGCGGTGGACTCGCGCCGCCGGACTTTGCACCGATGCGAGCCGATCGTGCGCATCGCCGCGGCCGAAAACAAACAATCGCGGAGGCGTGAGCGCGCCACCGGCCCATCCGCCATTCCGGCGTAAGTTTTCCGCGAGCGCCCGTTGACATGAGTGACCAGCCGCGTCAGCGCCAGCACCAACAGGTGCGCGTTATCAACGAGTCCTCCATGGACTCTACTAATGCCAACGACATCGACAACATGGACGACATGGATGACCCACAGGTCAACAATAAGAACAATAACGAGATCGACACTGGTAAGTTTAGTAACATATAGATTAGGTTATGTTCTAATACTGTCAATGTCACATGAAATGACAGTCATACACTGCGTACATTAACCTCAAATTTACCAATCTGGTCAATCAATATTGACTGTCTTGTTCTTGATGCTCTTGCCGCTTCTTGAGTTTCTTGGCATCGTTACAAGCACTTTGTTGTCGTCCTGATAACATCACAATGACAATGACGCTCCCTATCGACATTTATAAATACTTTTGTATTAATTCTCGTTATTTCCAGTCTTGGGAGTGTATAACCTCAATAAACACTGATAATTGTTCAGTATATAAATACGACACTGGTAATGTCATTAGCAAGTCATCATTTGTATTTTAATACATTTTTTTCCTAGTAAACGAGGCAAAAAGTTTAAACTTTGAGGTTAATATCTTTTCTACGATTGGCTCCGCGTGTGTTTGAATATACGAAGAGGTTGTGACCTGTCGGCGTCGTTTTTATCAGGAGTATTTATGGAAATTTATTCAAGTTTACTCAAGTCGTCCTAGTGTCGCTCGAGTTTGTTGTTTTAATGCTGGTGTGGTCAATTTTGCACTTGGATGTAATAAAATTGCTAGAATTGTCTGATAAGAAATTACATTAAATTCACATGACTGTTGATTAATGATTTACACATAAATTAATCATTTTGCTAGAATAAATATATTTTATATTGGTGCTGATTCGTAATAGGCAACCAAGCGTACATTAATATACGCGAAACTTGATGTTAGATGGCATTCAGCTGTTCGCAGCTCACATAATTATGCAACGCTAAGTTTTCAGACCGAGTAAACGTAGTATCTACGTACGGATTGTAATTAATGCATCAATTGAACAATATTAGCATTAATAGCATTGTTTGATGGTCGTGGTGAGTTTTATGCGCATAATAATGATTTAGTCGGCGGCGCGCATTTCCATCAGGCTCGAAACCGTTGAAAAACTCGTTGGGCTCGGTGCTAGACGCGGGGTTATCGCGAGCGTGAACTGCGTCTAGACCCCGGATACAACGAGACGTCGCAAGCGACATGACTTAACTCCCGGTTCCCTCCCGGCATCACATTAAGTCATTCCGAGCGACACTAGATTGATGATGATGGTGGCGGATTCAGCCCTCAAGAATTACTCATTCATTCTACAGTACCGTATTTACTCAAAACCTAATGCATTTAAAACTCTCGTGTACATTTACAATAGGCAGCCAACATTGGCTGATGGTGACTGTGTCGAAGGCAGCTTGGACCCTCAAGATCCTCGTTGTCCTAGGTTGATTCTGACCGGAACAGTTGTTAAAGTCGAAGATAGTCAAGAAGAGAAGCTGGCGAGATCTGCTTTGTACGCTAATCATCCCGATATGGAAATGTGGGCAGGTGGTAAGTGAAAATATTTTACAATAAGTTACATATGATATATCGTCATTCATTTTTTTAAACTTTAGTTCATGATTTCTACATTTCCAAGATGAACATTGAGCGTGTCACCTATTTAGGTAACTTTGGTGGTGCCGATATTATCGAGCCAAGTGAATATTTGGCAACTAAGCTTTAAATATGCTGTTCGTATCGTTATTTTGATGTGATATTTGATTAAATACCTGTTATTATAAACACACTCATTGACACTTCTTTTTCTTTTTGTACCGTTTATTAAATGGAAATTAAATGGACGTGGCTATCACATTTTTGCCATTATAGGTTTGGATGCTCAAAGATAAAAGGACCAAGTAAAATTTGTACTTTTTCCCTAGTTAATGGATACTTAGAATTATTGCTAAATCTATGTGATGACTTTTGAAGCAGAGCGACAATCATTTTATTTAATTGATTTTTTTATCTATAGTACCAGATTAACATCACAATGTACGACTTAAGTACATGTTTTCTTGGTTGCCTATAATAATCAACTACAACTTTTTTTTCTTCTCTACTGAAATTCCATACAACACAGCTTCTTTAATAAAGTTTTTGGTCTATGAAGGTCATTATTATAATCTGTTATCTCTATCGTGTTTAACTAGATGTTTCATTAATTAATACCCATATGCGCGTGAGTAACCAAAGAACCGCAACTCTGCGCACACATTACCACACACGTGCGCGCTCGACACACATGCGTGCAGTCGCAGTCTGCGCTTCCCCTGCAATATGTAATCCCAAAAAGAAAAAGTGAAGGCAGACGAGCTAACAATCCTGTTGGCCACGCAAGGAGTTTGTTCTGTTAAATTCTTGTGTTCGTGCAGTGACATGGTGTCGAAACCTGCTGAAACAAATGGGAATCGCGCGCTTCTCCTACCGCGGTTTGACAGCTAACGACTTAGGTCAATTCAGCATACACGACATACGCGACGTGCCATTGAAACACATCGGAATGTGATAAAACCCATGTGATTATTACTACGAACCACATTAAATTAAGTCAAAAACAGTGTGTAACTTATATTAACTCGTTTTACTTTCATTTGGTTCCTCACAACTGATATAGTTCTAAGTTTGGATGATCGATTGTGAGTGAATGCATTGTGTGTACTTTGACACCATGAGTGTGACCACCAGTGTGACTCTCACCGTGTGATAGGCAGTCTCTGACCACAAGTACTACAGCTGCTGTGCGTTTTCGTTTCTTGCTGGAAACTAAAGCAATTGAGCAAGTGTCTCAAACGGAAATGCGCGTAGTGTGCTGAATGACGCGGCGCGGAATTCCAAGCGGTGGACTCGCGCCGCCGGACTTTGCACCGATGCGAGCCGATCGTGCGCATCGCCGCGGCCGAAAACAAACAATCGCGGAGGCGTGAGCGCGCCACCGGCCCATCCGCCATTCCGGCGTAAGTTTTCCGCGAGCGCCCGTTGACATGAGTGACCAGCCGCGTCAGCGCCAGCACCAACAGGTGCGCGTTATCAACGAGTCCTCCATGGACTCTACTAATGCCAACGACATCGACAACATGGACGACATGGATGACCCACAGGTCAACAATAAGAACAATAACGAGATCGACACTGGTAAGTTTAGTAACATATAGATTAGGTTATGTTCTAATACTGTCAATGTCACATGAAATGACAGTCATACACTGCGTACATTAACCTCAAATTTACCAATCTGGTCAATCAATATTGACTGTCTTGTTCTTGATGCTCTTGCCGCTTCTTGAGTTTCTTGGCATCGTTACAAGCACTTTGTTGTCGTCCTGATAACATCACAATGACAATGACGCTCCCTATCGACATTTATAAATACTTTTGTATTAATTCTCGTTATTTCCAGTCTTGGGAGTGTATAACCTCAATAAACACTGATAATTGTTCAGTATATAAATACGACACTGGTAATGTCATTAGCAAGTCATCATTTGTATTTTAATACATTTTTTTCCTAGTAAACGAGGAAAAAAGTTTAAACTTTGAGGTTAATATCTTTTCTACGATTGGCTCCGCGTGTGTTTGAATATACGAAGAGGTTGTGACCTGTCGGCGTCGTTTTTATCAGGAGTATTTATGGAAATTTATTCAAGTTTACTCAATTTACTCAAGTCGTCCTAGTGTCGCTCGAGTTTGTTGTTTTAATGCTGGTGTGGTCAATTTTGCACTTGGATGTAATAAAATTGCTAGAATTGTCTGATAAGAAATTACATTAAATTCACATGACTGTTGATTAATGATTTACACATAAATTAATCATTTTGCTAGAATAAATATATTTTATATTGGTGCTGATTCGTAATAGGCAACCAAGCGTACATTAATATACGCGAAACTTGATGTTAGATGGCATTCAGCTGTTCGCAGCTCACATAATTATGCAACGTTAAGTTTTCAGACCGAGTAAACGTAGTATCTACGTACGGATTGTAATTAATGCATCAATTGAACAATATTAGCATTAATAGCATTGTTTGATGGTCGTGGTGAGTTTTATGCGCATAATAATGATTTAGTCGGCGGCGCGCATTTCCATCAGGCTCGAAACCGTTGAAAAACTCGTTGGGCTCGGTGCTAGACGCGGGGTTATCGCGAGCGTGAACTGCGTCTAGACCCCGGATACAACGAGACGTCGCAAGCGACATGACTTAACTCCCGGTTCCCTCCCGGCATCACATTAAGTCATTCCGGAGCGACACTAGATTGATGATGATGGTGGCGGATTCAGCCCTCAAGAATTACTCATTCATTCTACAGTACCGTATTTACTCAAAACCTAATGTATTTAAAACTCTCTTGTACATTTACAATAGGCAGCCAACATTACTCATTAAAAAATTAATTATTATTCCGTTTGAATTTATGATTTATTGTACTGGTATACTTACATTTAAACTAAGCCAACCCTGTAAAATACCACCCGTATCTTAGAAATATATACCAAGTTTAACGAGATAAAAATATAAGCTACTCTTTATCTTTTGAATGTTCAATAGTTGATTCTTAATCAAATGTTGTAGCCTGTGTTTTTGTTGACATATTACATACAAATATTTGAAGACCAACATCGTAAACTAAATACAAATATCGAAAACCGGCCGGTCTTATCTGACTTACGCGCCTAGTGGGATTGTTCAAAGAAAGAACTGAAATCAAAGAATCAATATTGATTACATTTTATAATTTTACGTAAAACTGTATTCGACGTCAATCATCTTTAGGAATTTGTCTAGACTTGTGTCGAATTGACGGACTATAAATAGTAATTTCAGCTAAGTAATATTATATTAGTTGTTTCTATTTATTATTTATCTGCAATTTAAGCAGTTATTTTATTGTAGCATTTGTTGTGTTGTCAATAATAAGCAATGATTCATGTTAATTAGCGGGAACGTTTGTAATAAGTAAAAGAAAACTGGGGAGTCATTCGGTCAGTTCGTGTAACGTTATTATCAACAATACATATTTAGTGGTTTACACGACTGCAATGACAATTTGTGTGAACGTGGTGATATTTTTGGTTCACAACAATATCAATATCAATTGTTTTATTTGTGACGAATACTGAATACGATAGTTTTAATTTGCTTGTAATGTTGCTTATTAATTGCAATAATGAAGAAATTCTATATTAGGAACAAATACAATCAGTTTTCCAAAATATAGTGTTTATTTGTGTAATGCATATTTTTTTAAAGTTTTGCTACAATATATTTGTCTGGTTAGTTTGGCATGACGAAACTGGGGTTGCGAGTGACATTTTATTGTTTTGCATTTTTAGTGCATACGTTTTTAGTAGACATTTATATAACCAGTGTTAAATAAAATTAGGAGTTTTGCATTGGAAAAGTATTACAACACTGTAGTTCTCAACTGCCTTCAACACTGACAACCAGCTGAATTTATAGGAAGTAAAAATTTACCTCCCCCCATTATATCACTTAGTTCCTCTATCAACATCTACCAGTAGAGAAAATAGTAAACATTTTCCTTCGAATTTATTAGTTTCTTGTATTGTGGAGGGGATGTAGTTTACGTAAAACGCCTCTGCACAGCGCAAGTTTCGATCGTATTGTCTGTGCCTTCCGAGATTTATTCACTTGTTACATAATCTCATCTAATAAAAATGCATTACAGATGAAATAATTTACTAATGCCAGACTAATATATCATTCCGATACAGGTACTTATAGGTATAACATATTTTTTTAATACGTACAGTCACTGATATACTGATTATTCTTCCGAAACGTGCGTTATCACTATTACACTGGATAGATATCAGTCGATTGGTTGACGATTAGCTCAGCAAGGTTGTTGAGGTTAGTATGCGCACGGTTAGTTACACGAATTAAATCGCAATTTCTCGGAGAATTATTTACAATAAATTGAACTACAAAGATGAAGTAATGGAACGTCGGAACAAATAAAGTGTATTCATAGTTGCAATGACAATAATGACGTCGTAAAGCCAGTAATAATTTTAGTTTTTGGGTAAGTCACATAAACTTGTATTATCTAAGTATACTACTTAAATACTTAAATTTGTAAATGTTAGTGGTGGTGAAATGTTAAGCAAGGTGTAAAATATTATTTCAAATGCGTTTGAAAAAAGTATATTTAGTAACAAAAAACTTACATTTTTTTGTTTTAAGGAAAGTAAGTTTGAATTTTAAATGAACTGAATTGTGTATTGGGAACAAATACATACTGTTGTTTTCCAAATTATTGTTTGTTTGTTTGTTTATGGCCGCTGGCAAAATTTGCATAATGGCAGTTATGATTATTATTACGATTAGTTGATAACTTATTCGCGTTTGCAATATACTACATACACAGCACGGCGCTTGTCGATAACAACAGATAAATAAATAATCAGCGCGGCATGCCTTCGGCGGATGATCCGACTGCAGTTCTTGCTCGAGTTCAAAAAGAAATTTACAACGCGTGCCGGCAAAATGTTTATTATGTCAATGCTACTACTGATAAGAGCAGCGCGCTGCTACTGCTGCAGTGTAAACGGGTCCTATTTTATTTTGGTTTCGATGAGAAACCAATGAGTGAGTCTAAACATTGGTTACATATTTTAATTATTTAAGATTGCTAATTTCCATGTTTTCGCCTTCATAAGATCGTGCAGTAACGATTTGTTTACAGCGGAAATAATACCGAAATGATCCATAGATAACTCACATTAATATGTTTAAATTAACTATTTACCCAGATTTGCGATAGAAGCGGAGAAATTGCGTTGTTTTTAGCTTAATTACGGATTATTTTGAGCAATAACATATTAATTATAACTTTCTAAACATGAATCAACAATGATTATATGTAACGGGTTCTGCGACCTTGCGTTGGTACAAAAATTACCCTCAATTTTAATTTTTTCTCGTAACAATACGAAATCACACACAGAATTAATCTTAAATTAACATTTTTGTCACTTTTGAAGGCAATTGTAATAAATGAAGCAAAAGAAATAGTAACTTTATCCCAATAAATCAATCTAATGCAATAAAATGTGTTTATTGCTTCATCAGAGATAAAGATCATTACTTTTGTTTTATCACTACGCCACCAGAGAATACCCAGGATATTATTATGCAATAGAAGACAGTCGGAGACAAAAAATCTTGCTCCATCACTCTCTTCATTCACACATGTGCGATAACAACGTGTGGTCCAAAATTAAATTTATCAGTCGATGATAAGCGATACGACGGAAAACGAGCTTAGCGTACTTTTGAAAAGCCCTCGAGAATCTTCCAAGTCACATTACGTCAAACGTTTCTTTTAATCGAAAACAAAATAAAAAAAAGTATGAAACATATCTTATCAGACAACAACAATTACTAGGTGAATAGTTAGTAATAACATTTACAATTTGACATTACCATTGTGTTATCAGTACTTAATATTTTTAACAAAGATTACGATTAATTATGTGATGAAATTGTTATTAATTCGATTAATGTGTATTTTCGTAGTACTTTTGCTTCATTTGCACAAATGCAGCAAAAAATTTGAATTTATTGATTGTCGAAGTATTTATTAAGAGTGAAATACCGGTTGGTAACGTCTCCGCGGCCTCTCAGCGTGCGCTTTTTATTTTTTAATTGTTTACAACTTTATATGAATATTTGTGGTGGTGTTGAGGAGTGTGGTGTAGCAATGCGATGGCGATGGTGGGGTCAGAGCATGTCATATGCCAGAAAGTCATCGCGTATTACAATAAAAACAATCTGCGAAGGCGCCGTTGCCGCTATTTACCACTAATAACAATATGGTTGCCGCGCAATTTGATTCACATTTCTTAGAATCAAATGATAGATTTTGTTTTTAAACTTTGCTGATTACATTTTATTATATAATCATCTCATTTTTATTAAAATTTTTATCATAATATCATTTTAATGCCGGGGCATTCCAGTAAATCTTTAAAATCAGCCCTTATAATGTAGTACCCCACAAATTTAGATATAATTAAGACAAAATAAGAAATTATAAGAGAAAAATTACTACCTAGGGCCCAAATTTAATGATAAATGAAAATATAATTGGCAAACTCTGGGATTAGC